TTCTACTCTAGCCCAAAACTGCTGAAGGTTTGGCCCATGCCCATCCCATATACCCATGATGTGAAACAAAGCGATCGAGCAACCCAGATCTGAAAGAGCTCCTGATCAGAACTGTCCCAGGTATCCTCAGAGCAGACTCCAGAATCTCCAACAGAGGGTCAATACAACCATGGGCTCACAGCCTATAATCGATAACCTGGATTCCTGGATGTACATATTGTCGTATTGTAAAGGATTGCAAACTGACAGAGTCTCATGGATCTTTCCAATCTTTCCATGTCGAGTAAATGCGCCGTTGAAAACTACGACCTGCATGGCGGGCATGGCCATGGCCCAGCACCCGTAGCGCCCAGCATCCCCGGTCCGCCACATTTCTTCATGCAACAAACCGCGGCCAGCAGTCATCCATTGGACAGCTGCATCCTCCCCATCGCCCGGGGACTCCTGGGAGGAATCCATGACTTGAACAGCATGTCAGCTGTGCAGAACTGAACTATAAGAATTAACTTCAACCAAAGCCCAAAATATGGATTGTCATCACAAAATAACAGACGGAAGGAAACAGAATATAAACCACCAGCTGGGAAGGCTGCTTCCAACAACAGGGCCAAAAACCAGACATGCTTGATGTGCTTCAGTGATCTCCACAAGCTATGCTTGTCCCCCGATCGTTTACGAATGTTTATTACAACGAAATTGGTAGGATGGGGTGTCTCAAGAAGCACCAGCACAAAGCTCCATCTGGGGCTCCTTCGGTGCTCCGTACGACTTCCTCAGGCTGCGTCTCGCAAGACTTTGGGGCCACAACTGCTGTACATTGCTGTACTGAGTACTGAGCACCCGGTATGGCTGCATTTTGGTTGCTATAAAAACTGCTTGGCGGTGCCAAGGCTGTTTGAACATAGATAGCCAGTCATGGTCAGGATCCCAAAACAGTCCTGATCGAATGGAGCACATTAAGTAGACAGTGCTTCAACCGCGACCCTTCGGCTTGTTTCTACCTCCCTCAACAGTGTTTCGGGGATGGTGGTCTGAAAGGGCTGAACCTCAAAAACTCACAGATAGCTGGAAGTTTGGAATTTTGGAATTTTGATGAATTTTGGAATACCTCCCCCCAAAAAGGACCAGATCTGCTCAACCGTGAGCCCTGACCCTGTACCCTGTATGACTTCGCCATTCGTCGATGTCGGGCGTCTTGACTCCCATGGAATCGCGGTGAACGAGGCCACCCCGCAGCACATAGGTGACCGTCTCGAAGCCCCGGTGGGGATGGGCTGGGAAACCCTCGGGCAACAGAAAGCGGAACCTGGGCACTGGCACTGGAGGTTCAATGAGACAAACATAAACAAATCATGAAACAACGTCAAGGGTGGTACAAGACATGCAAATATAGCTCATGGATCATTAATTATATTAATTGTGGTTGTTTTGGCTCAAATTTGTGCAAAAATATAAATGAATGGGAAAGGTACTCGCCGCAAAGACTCTCCTTCTTGGTTTGATGTGAAACATGTGAATATTCTTATGATCTCGGTCGGATTTCCGATCTGTTTCTCGGCCCAGAAGCAGGTATCGAAATGGATCAAAGGCAAAAAAGGAATGGCGATGATGTGCCACCAGCAGAAAGGGATCCGTCGACTCAGTGTTTCGGAAGATCCTCAAAGCTCAGCCAGTGCACTGGGAGCATGGCAAACCCTTTGAATCGCTTTGAGTCGCATCCAGTATCATCCAGTAATGTCAGTGCTGTCCAGGTCTCAGGCAACGGCTTCAGCTCTCAACGAACCCAGTTGCAGAACCCGACAATTTATCACCAAGGATCATCGGACACACACGGCCACCAAATCGATCCTCCAACTTGGCGGCGATGGCGGGTTTGCCCAGAATGAGATCCATCAGAATATAGACAATGCCAAACCAAGCAGGCCATACCGGCAGTCCTGAGCCCCGAGGGCAAGCATGATTTTGTTCATCTTTGAATATCTTTGCAGGGTTTCATATGTTGCACATGCAATAAAAGGATTGGAGAATGGGGAATTGAATGTCTTGGTTTCCTGAAGGCCAAACGAACAGTTGAACCGTCGAGTTAAAATCCATGAAAATAATCCATCAAAATCTGGCATCGAGAGACGTGGATGCTTCACCACAGACTCGATGCTGGCACGTTGTGTCCTGGCCAGAAAACAAACGCAAATGCACAAACAGACATACTTTTTGAAACCAATCTGATGATACACTGACCTTGGTTTAAATAATCCAAAGTTCCTGATCGTCCTATTCAAGCAAACCTATATGCATTGAAGGCTTACATAGGCGTGCTATCTTGTGTCTGAGGCTTGAACATTTGCCTGACAAGTGGAACGAACAATTATACAATACTTGTAGACGCACTGCTGGTTGATATTCCATAACCCTGCTGATTGGTAGTTTGTTGCATTGAGTATATATGTTTGTCATTGGTTAATTTCCAAATAACCGGCATTGTTTGGTTTGGTTCTTGTTTGAGACCCTTTTATGCATCCCCTTATCATATTCCACATATGTTTGGCACCCAAATTCTGACGTCCGATTTTCCGTTCGATCCTGGTTGGATGCCGTTGGTCTTCAGCACTCAGATTGGTCCGGACACCCACACTGCCGTTGATGCCGCCAACGAAGCAACTGGGCACTGCCAAGGCCAAAAACCTGGATGAAGTGGGATAGGTGCAAGGCATGAAGTCAAACCAGCGAAATCTTGTAGATGGGTTGAACCCGCAACAAAAAACACAGAAAGGAACGCTGTGGAGGCCCCGTTTTACGGTGTTACATGGGGCCGCCACAGCGTCTCACTCTCAAAAAAAATGTTTAATTTTTTTGTCATGTTCAATGATGGTGTTAAAATATGTTTTTAAAAACCCCTGCGAAGCGTTCCTTCCAAAAAGTGGTTGCCAACATACATTGCCGCATTTTTCACAATCTTCATCATCCTCATCATCATCATCATCAAATTTTCATCATCCTCATCGTCATCATCATCAACAACAAACTTACAATACAATTTTATCATCTCCAGGCGCATGGATACAGGTGTAAATGTAGGTGTGCAAGACACCTGCGATTTTATAATTGCAGGTGTATGGATGCAATTGTACAAGACACCCACTATTTTTCTCCCAGATGTATATGTAGGTGTATATGTAGGTGCATAGATGCAATTGTAAAGGACGCCTACTACTGTCGAGTTGCAAGTGTTTAGAGGCAGGTGTTACGACGCAGTTGCAAGAGACATCTGCAAGTTTGCCTTTGCAAGGCATACATGATTTGTAAATAGATGCAGGTGTCGAAAAAAATACCGTCAACTACTTGGTAGGGACCTTGGCTACGGCTACTTTAGTTTAGACCCTAAAACCAGGTGTCTATTTGGATTGTCTGGCTCCACCCTTTGCTAAATCAATGTCAAGTTCCTAACTTGGGGCCTTTTGGATGTTTACCAGCAAGGGCTCTGACAAGGTAATCCTATGTCAACAGGTTTTGAACATAAGGCTCACAATCTTGCTGGTGCCTCAGATGGGCAGCCCGTCTAACAATTCTAACATAGATCATTGAGGATGATCCCACGCCGCGCAAGCAGTAGCCAAATCTCGGAAACGCACAGACCAACTTTATTCATGTTTTTTTGTCACATTCTTTTTGTGAGGCAAAAACTCGCTTCAGCACGACATGTGGCTCGTAGGGCAAAGGATTGATTTCCGTGAATGCTTTCACTTTCTTGGTGGTCTTGTTTCCTGTCTCTGCGGAAGACGCGGCCACTGCAGAGGGTTGTTCAGCCAATCATGTCCATCAGACCACAACACTTTCTCGCCCTCCACATCAACCCCACCTGGATAGTCTCGGCTGCTGTCAGATTGCGGCAAAGAGGCCAGCATCCAAATGTGGGTCAGTTGCCCCAAAGAAATGCTCACCGCACTCAATCCAGCCTACGTTCTGATGTCCCCAACAGTGTCGGGAGTAACTAGTTCAGCATCACTGGGCTGATGTTGAGTTGAACAAACAGCGCAGGAGGACACTGCGTAGGACAATCCCAGCTAGCAGGTTCAATCCCTTCCAGCACAAGCACCAGCAGCAACTGTCTTGAACAAGAAAGGCAACAAAAGCAAGCAAGAAAACCGTTCCAAGGAAAAAGTTGAAAGTGCAAAACAGGCAAAGGTAGAGATCACAAGGAAACAACAACAGGATACAACAGGCACAAAGCTCCAGGAAATAACCCTCTAGCAAGAAGATGGTCGGAGAATCGCGAAGCAGCTGTCTGTACAACATGAATATGAAGAAAATTGAAGAAACATGTTCGAAGGAATTTTAGAAGTCAAACTCTCGAGAATATGGACAGATGGAAAAGCAGAGGTGGGAAGAGTCACAGAAGAAATCAGAAGAAGAAAAAAGATCAGAGAAGAGAAAGAGTCAGGAGAAAGAAGATGCAGGTGCGCGAACCGTAGAAGCGTTCATGTGTAAAGCTCTTGTGCGCAAAGCACCTGTGTAGAAAAGATTCTGTGTAAAAGCGTCTTTGTGTGAAGCGTTTGTGTAAAAGCATCTGTGCGTGAAAGCCCGTGTCTTCAAAGTCGTCTCTGTGTGTGAAACTGTCTTTGCATATACTCCGGCTAGACAGCTGAGATGCCCGCTGTCGCTAAAGGACTGGCAAAAATATGAGACACAATTCAGGTTACGATCAGCTTGATTATGTCGTACGCCCTTCATCACCATCACCATCACCACCACCACCACCACCATCATCATCATCATCATCATCATCACCATCCTCATCTTCATGCCATCACCATCCTCATCTTCATGCCATCAACATCATCATCATCATCATCATCATCATCATCATGATCATGCATTGTAGCCTCTCTCTTCTTCGGAAGGAACCATGGATTTTGAACACCCAGCTGGTGATAGATTCCGCCGCGAACATCATATTTTGACTTCGAAGAAACGAGCATCATTTGACACAACAAACAGATGCCTTATAACAAGCACAACTTAAATGGTTTAACATACAGGAATCAGCGTAAACCAAAAATATCTGATTGGAGGCTGAACCACCTTGACAAACATATATTCCTTATCATTGTCACAAGGGGTAAACCGGGGAAACTCATCAACCTCCATTCTTTCCACTACGAATACCATTCCACTTTGCAACTGGCTCTTAACCCGGATTACTAACCACTTACGATTTGCGGGATTAGCCAAGAAAGGTGTGGACACCACACCAATGGTCGAACATGGATTTACATGTGTGTGACTGTGTGTATATAATGTGTACATATGCTTACATATCTATATGTAACACATATACAAGCAGTGGACGTTAAAACGAAAGGACCATAGAAATAGGGCCAACACCCATTTTGCGCGAGTCCCAGGTGGTTAGCTGGTTTGGAACTATGAGTTCAAAACGAACAAAGACGATACATCCTGCACACTCGTTGCCAGATCCTTGCTGAAATCCAAAAGGGGATGGCGGTCAAGTCACATTGCTGAAGATTTTGTATCCCAGCATTGCTGCTGAAGGGGGGTTCCACCCTTTGGAAAGAATGGTTTATCAGGTGGATGGTTCCATCAAGGGTTTGGATGGACAGGTGATGAAGGCACCAATCCAGGATCGGGACACGGCCAAAATATCAGAAACACAGCACGCTAGGAATGGGTCGGAAATAACCCTTGAAGACCATTACTATTGTCAGTACTATTCTTATGATCAAATTGCAATTACTATTATGAGTGGTGTCCTAATTCACCATTACTATTATGTTAGTCATTCTAGTCACCATATTCTAGTCACCATATTCACCATATTACTATTGTCACCAGAATGATTGGTGTCCTGACATATTCTGCCACCTGTACATATCATGAAATCACGACCAAGATTCGCCAGGTACCATCGCTTCAAAATCTTCGGAGGTTTCAGGGCAGGCGCAGCCATGGGGTTGCTGGGTGATTCACTACGCGGATCTAAATGACTTCTAACAATGTGGATAGCTCAGTTAGGGGCCTGAGAAACGCGTTAGTTTCCAATTGCATCCACTTGCCAAGTGTGGTGGTAACCAAAGTAGCTGTGGCTGCAATGCAGCAGTTGTCTGAAACTGTGTTGGTGTGGAACAAGAGGTGGGTGGAACCTTTTCGGTGCTCCTAAACTCTTTGAGAGGCAAAGGCCCTTGGAGATCTTAGAGAGGAGCTATGACAGTACATGAATCTATATAGTATGTATAATATCTATATATATATATTATATATATATATATTTAGACCTAGATTATCACACAATTTATATATGGCTGTAGCTCAGAACTTCGTTGACAAACGCATCCAGTAATCCAGTGGCTTTCGAGCCAAGCTGGCCAGAACGACGACACGCGAAGCATTCAGCAAGTTTTTTTTTGCTGGAATCTGGAATCAAACACTGAGAATACTGATACTAGTAGTCCCAATAAAAAGATGCAATGGGTGAAAACACAACATTTCTGCCACTCAGAACTTGCAAACCAAGCCATCTGGCCTCATTCTGGCTTGCCATGACCGGCAAAACGGTTGGCGCGCAGCCTGAAGGCTTCGTTGTGCGACCGAGCTCGGGCCCGGACCGAACAACAAGCAGTCATTAGCTCAAGGGCCCAATCATCTTCCTGCACCGCTTTGAGCTGGTTTCATATTCACCAAGATGGGCAGAAATTCACACAGCTTCCCCCGTAAGATGCACACAGGTTCACAAAGATTCACCAGGATGCACAGACGGGGGGACACCTAGCCATTGCAGACCTGGTGGTTGGGATTAGGATCACTTGGATGTGACTAGGATTCCCGATGTGAAAGTTGATGCCAACTTCTGGGAGCCGTTGGAACCGCGGGCATTAAGAAGTATCCAAAATTTATTTGCATGGAATGCACTGCAATGTCACAGTTCAGGTGAGGACCCTCCATGCCGGATTTATTTTACATGGTCAACCTCCGCGGCCAATCTGCGACGTGAAGTCAGTAATATGTTCATACTGAGACATAGCACACAAACAAAACAATAACAAAACAAACCCACACCACTTTTAATTGGAAGCAACTACCTACCAGCTCCTGTTGATGGAAGATGATCCGAAGTCTGAAGTAGTATCAGTCGGTAGCTCATACCGCACACTCAGAGGGTTTGGATCCCGTGCTAGTGAATGATATGCATCGAAATAATCTCCTGGGGGTTCCATCGCTCCGACACGTGCGCATAGATATCTTGGGACTATGGCATAATTTGACATTAATTTGACTACCTTTTTTGTACAAATAAGGTGTGAACCATTGACAACATTGTCTTGCCGCTGCCAGTGGACATGATTCTCCCATTGGGATTCATTTCACCACTGGATGTCAATCTCAAAGCCATGGTGACAAAGTTGTCATGTTGTTTTCGCCTCATCCTCATCCGGCGAAGACGAACTTGACAAGGCCTGCAAAAACAAATCGGTCACCATTGACACGGCATTGCTGAAAAGCTATCGACATGAAAAGCGTGGTGCAATGCACTGAGATACTGGTTGTTCGAGAAGGATTCCCATCAGGATTATCAATGGCCATTTCAGGACCCTAAAGTGGAGGTACGTTAGTACCATTTCTCAGGCCATCGTTTGTGGGGATATTCCCTGAAATTTGGCCCTGAAAAATAGGCCTTACATAGGCCTTACATGTGGTAGGTACCTCCAATTAATGCTCTTCAAAGGGCCATTGGCCATTGAACAACAACCGCATTTTTTCCACACTTAGTACGACATAGTAACATAGTAGGACTTCACAGTACCATCACTACCCACAAAACAACAGGCTTTGGGACACTGTGGCTATGACCCCTGGAGATTCCCCAACTCCGTCGCCTCCGTCGCCAAGTCCAGCACCGCATGTCCTGCGGGGACTTTGCAACTGGTGTAGCTAGGACACCTGGTGTATCTATTCACAATGCCTATTGGATCAACAAAAACCTGAGAACATTGGATCTGAGGAAGCAAATCAATCTATATGTATATATATAATTACGTATATGTATATATGTGTGTATCAAATATTTACATGTATATAATGATATACTATATGTATATATATATAGATAGATTATAGATATATATACTCAAACTGTCATACCGGTCATACTGTATATGTCCGTAGGTCATTGATGCAGCTGTATATGGCCTCTGAGAAGACATCCCAGCTGTCGCTGTGAGTCCTGGCCGTTTGGGTAGGAACGGCAGTAGGATGGGATTTAACATCCATGGGTTAGTACATGTTAGTACTTAATCTGGTTGGTGGTTGAGCCACCCCTCTGAAAAATATGAGTTCGTCAATTGGGAATATGATTCCCAATATATGGAAAAATCAAAAATGTTCCAAACCACCAACCAGTAATCAATTGAAACCATGTCATTGACATCTCTTGACCCATGTTCATCCATTTTCAAGGTCTCAAACCCGTGCAGCGAAAAATTCCAGGGGGCGTTTCTATTGAAGGACGCTCAATCGATTGAGTTCAGCAGTAGCAGACTGCATGTCTGTCTGCCCAAGTTACATATGTTCGCGCATGAGCAGGGAAGTGGAAGTTCCAACCGCAAGATTTGGAATGGAAACTCAGAGGGTGCGGTGTGGCCTTAGAATATGTTTTGATTGCAGCTCAAGTGCTGTACAAGAAAGTACTGTACAAGAGTTGGAGGGTTCGGCTCCAATCCCAACTACATCTTGCGGGCTATACACCAAATACTTACTATTACAGTACCTTGAGAAGTTGGGGCATGGCGCAGCTAAATTCTCAAGTTACGATGGACCGGTGGTGGGAATCGAGCCTCTGCTGTTTCGCTTCTAAGAGGTGCTCTTGGACCCCAAACAATTTAGGGACCCCAATGACGTTTTTCTTTGACAGCCCCCTTCATGGGCCCTGAAAGGGTGGCAAACCCTGGTCCTTACCACGGTTCAAGATGTCTGACTTGAAAAAAAATGGGTACCAAGAATAAATATCTTGCTGCTGCAAATGCTTCTGCTGAAGCTTGGCACTGAACTCCAATATTATACAATATTATATATGAAGAAAGTGGTAAGAATTTGAGGGGTCTTCGACTGCGACTTTCTGGATTCTTGTACAGCACTCGGGCTGTATTGGGAACGGTCGTTTTGAATTCCAAAGATCAAATGCAAGGAGGATGTCCGTCCAGCCTGGTTCATAAAAGATACCATTCTTGTAAATGGCATCCTCAATTTTGTCAATCATATCTATCCTGGGTTCTGCTGGGTTTTCCCAACTTTTTTGGGCCCCATCATCCCAGGTAGGGACGGAACGGTAACTTGAAACGACCTGAACCCCGTTGCTGTTTGTAAAAATGTCCCCATCATTGTAGTTTGGCGGCCCATGTTTCTTGGAGGTCTGAAAGCGGCAACTCTCCTCCAGCTTCACAGATTTGAGCTCTCGCGTCAAGGCCTGAGATGGGCCATGAGGACACCTATGAACACATGGTGCGGTCTTCGGGGACCAACTCCAACCCGTTGAAAATGGAGATTCCCTCCTCTCACGACATTACAGCACCCCCTGAAGATGAATAGGTTCCAATCAGCATAGGGTCTCCACACGCTTCTGTTGGAAAACTGACATTGAAAGCAACCCACTGTCGGGCCCGTGAGGTAGTACAATACTTAGGTATGTCAGCTGCTAAAGGATCGATGTTGGATAGCAAGGAGACGCAGTCCAAAAGTGGATAATGTAGGGAGTTGAAAGATATCATTGCTAAAGAAATGACACTGACTTGGCACACAGAAGAAGTCAAATACTCAATGGCTCAGTGGCTCAGTATATCTCAGTATGGTGCTTTCCAATTTGCTGCCAGTCATGGGAAGGTCACCCGACGTCTACGACGTCTACGAGCTCCGTTCTCATCCGGGATGTTTTCTTAACCAACCCAAGGAGATTTTTCGCACCATCCCTGCACCCAGGTTGAACTCAATGCCTCACTGTTCGATAAAATTGATTCGAGTTTGTAACATTATAAGAGGGATCCCAACAATCAGACATGGATCCATCAATTGATGTGATGGGAATGTCAATCCAAAATTGATTGCATCTGCGACAATCTCTTACAACCCACATTTTCGCTTAAAAAGGCGTCAAAAGGGGGTGATAGGTCAGGAACAGAACACACAAAAGAGATTGCGGCACTTCGAACACCAGGACATTATCACTTTGAAACGAAGCTAAGAAGTAAACATCGTTCCCAGGGAAGCGACGGCGCCTGTGATGCTGTGGACATTTCACTGGAAACGTCCTGAGAGATCCAGGGCAGCCCGTGGTCACTGTGGCATGTCATTAACCACCGATTGCAGTCCTTGCAGGTTGGAAGAACAAGCGACTGAAGTTCAGAGTTGTTTAGTTTCGTCAAGCAAATAAACATGATTTGTTTAAGAAGGGTTTTTTGGGGGCATTGCTCACAGGTGGCGCTTCTCTCAGCAACACTAAACAGCGAAACATGGTTGTTTCCTGCATCGCCATGTACGAGCACCGTTGCAACAAAACGGCAAAAATGCGCTCACTGACTGTGTACCTACTCTAAGAGTTTCTGCGGGCACAGCGCCCGTCCGTTCTTGTGCAACTTTAGAGTGTGACATCTATTGACACATTGGATCCTTTAGATTTCCTAGGTCCTACAATCAAAGTGACACGTGTAGCACATTGTTTGCTTGCGTAAGTCTTCATTGGTAAGTCTGGTAGTGCTATATATATATATATATCATGTTGTATCCTTATATCATATTGTATCATTACCATCAACATGATCAAAGGTTGATTCTGTGCCCGTAGTTTTTGTAATGCTAATGTTTGTCATCCGTCTCATCTGTCTCATCTTTCTCATCCTTCTCACAATTTGGCTTTTATCATCACTCTTATATGTTTCATCATCATCATCATCATCAGCAACAACAACAACATGATCAACATGATCAACATGATCAACATCCATATCCATTTCCATCCATATCCATCCATATCTACATCTATATCTAAATCACATATGTATACGTTTTTTTGCTCTCATGGATTTTATGCTCAACTGATTCCCCATGTCTGCAGCACTTCCTCTGCTCCAACCTTCTCGGCAGCCCATCTGCTTCTCACCTACGTCTGAACTGCAAGGACTTCGGTTTCTCTGAAAATGTCCTGAAAGCCCAAAAACACAATGCTTGATCAGTTTTCCATAGTTTTCCCATTGAAATGACCATTTGGAGGGTATACCCCATTTTCAGACACATCCACTTCTTAGAGTTAGATCCTCTGCGCAAGTGGCGAACTTGCAGTTCTATTGTCGCCTCACCCAAACGGACAGCTGCTTTGTGCACTCCGAGCAGATGTCTTGACCTGGTGAAAAATCAGAATTGGGTTCAATGGGTCAAGCAGCCTAGGTGTTTTTGGCCAAAAAAAGTGGAAAATATGAAGTATACTGTATACTTATGAGTTAATGTAACTTACAACTATGTAATGCACATGAGGTGATCGTGCACCCATCAGTTTTTCTGTTGACCTCTATCATCTGTTTGGCATTCTGAACTGATTTCAGGGCACACATCTTCATCGCCAGTGGAGATTAACCCAGCTTTGCAACACAACAGCAGGCTCCAGGGTTACAAGGCTGCAATGTCATCAGGCAAGGTTCTAAGGTTTTGCAGGGTTCCTAGATTCCACAATTGTAGGTTTCCAGGATTGTAAGGTTGGAGATTTCGAGAGTTCCAAGGTTCCAGAGTTCCAGATTACCAGGGTTCTGGGGTTTTCAAATTTCCAGGGTTCAAGGTTCCAAGCTTCAAGGTTCCAGACTTGTAAGGGTCTTGGTTTGATTCAACAACGACATGACCAGCGCAATGCAAAGCAAACGCAAAACACAATAGAGTTGCTTAAGTTTATTTACAGAACACAGTGTGAGCAGTATGATCCACAGAAAAGCATCAGCTCTACAGCTTCACAAGGTGCAAGGTTCAAAGTTCACAGGGTTCTCGGTTTCCAGGCAGGGTAGCAAAGCTCTAAGGTTGCAAGATGCCCAGTTTGGGGTTCCATCATTCCATGACCCTGGAGCCACATAGTTTCCTGGTTCCAAGATTCCATGGACCAAGGGATCCATATTGTGAGAGTCCCAAAATTCAAAGTTTCAGATAAAGCTTGAGGGTTCCCAGTGCAGGTTCCGGACTGGCAAAAAGTTGAAAGTTCCAGGGTTCTGGAGATCCAGGGTTGCAGGATTCTAAGGTTGCAGGGCTCCAAGGTTCAAAGGTTACAAGGCTCCAGGAATCCAAGGTTGCAGGTTTCCATGGTTTCAAAGCTCCAAGATTTCAGAGTTCCGGGCTTACAGGGTTCCAGAACAGAAACCCTTTGCTGGAGACCTTGCAGGAAGTTTTGGAATTTCTATGATGCACATAGTAGTCCATGTATATGAGACTCCACGTACGCGTGTTGTAATGTGTATATAATCAAACTTGCCATTTTTGTCACAAAATAATGCATGCACAACGATTATTCTGCGCATTAATGCTTGAATTGCTGGAAAGTTTGTGGTTGCTATCGCGTTCCCTTTCGCGGCAGAATCGCACTGCTTCCTTGCAGGAAGTTTTCTAGTAACCTTTCCGGACGCTTCAACAAAACTTGCGGATTTAGTATGATTTAGTGTGAGTTGTGTTTTATTAATTTGCATTTTTCTCCTTAATGTGCAGAGCTGCTTCATGTGTCATTAAATCCTGGAACCATGGAACCCTGAAAAACCTGGAGCGATAGGCCTTGGAATCTTGGAAGCCTGAAAGCTCAAAAACTTGGAACCCTTTAATCTTGAATAAATCCTAGAACCTTGGAAACCTGCATCCTTGGGATCTGGGTGCCAGCTTGGAACTTTGCCCCTTGACCTTGCAACCTTGGAACCCTGGAGAGCAAGGTTCATGCCAGGGTTCCAGCAAAGGTTTCTTCAAAGGTTCAAGCAAGGATGCCAGCATCACAGTTTCAGCAATGGATCCTCGTCTTTAATTCCCTGCGCCTCCAAAAAAAACACCGCCAAGAATTCAGAAGTTGTCCTCGTATAGGTGCCAGCAAGGTTGCAAAACAATTCCAACAAAATTCAAGCCAGACTTCCAACCTCACAACCCGGCACATTAAGCAAAGCAAGAAGCAATGTAAAAAGAAAAAACAAATCGACACCCGCATTGATTCCCAGCAAACTGTTCCAGCCAGAGGTTCCAGCAACAAGGTTCCAGCAAGGTTTCACCACGTTCCAGCAAGGGTTCACCAGGTTCCAGCAGAGTTCCAGCAATGTTCCAATGACTTTCCAGCAAGGTTCCAGGTTTCTCCAAGCTTCCAGGAAGGTTCCAGGACTGTTCTACCACAGTTCCAGCAAGATTGCAGCGACTTTCCACCAAGGTTCCAGCAGGGCTTGACCAGTTTCCACCATTCCAGCAGTCTAGCAATGTTCCAGCAATATTTCAACGAAGTTCTAGCAAGGTTCCAGTAGTGCCAGAGCATGCATTTGGCTGGCACCACTCCCCGCCCCAGAGATTGAAACCCAACAGGATAACTGTTGGGAAGTTGCAGCAAGGTTCTCAGGAACGTTCCGGCAGGTTCCAGCAAGGTTGCAGCAAGGAAGGTTCCAGCAAGGTCGGAGGAAGGTTCCAGGAAGGTTCCAGCAAGGTTCACGCAAGGTTCCAGCAAGGTTCCCAGGAAGGTTCCAGCAAGGTTCCAGCAAGGTTGCCTTGAACTCGTGTAAACAAGTTTGTCGCAGTCCATTGTTATCAAACGTGTTGGATGTATCAATATATTTCATAATACAATACAATAACAGCAGTTCATGAGTGACTATATTCGAAATGACACCTAAATTGACCGGTGTTACGAAATGGCACCCATATTTACAATGATTTTTGAATGAAACAGACGACAAAATTAGCGTATACATGGTGGATGTCCGTTCTACCGTACTCGTCAAGTAAAATCACATTTAAATCGAACATGTTTCATACGTGTTTGAAAAGGACAACAGTATAAATCGAAACTTTAATAATAGTAACACTCGGAGTACAAGAAATGCAAATGGTTAAAATAAAAAAAAAAACGTGTACGAAAAAACATTCGAGTCAGTGTTTGGTGCCAAAGACGGTAAATGGGACGGTACATAACTTGGTGCCATTGAATTGGATGGTGTGTTCAAAGGTGGTTGTGTTGGATCAATAGAACCAATGCAACTAATATGAAAGGACACATATGTTAAATGCTGTTTCAATGAAATAAACATCTCTCGCTGGCACGCACGTGCGTACTATTCAAGTGTTGTCAATATTGTATTCGTAAAAGTGAGATACTTGGTTTTGACCCAATGCCAACACAACAATAGTCTCTCACCGTACGTTTTTTACATACTTTATGACTTTAAAAAAAAACACACGGCGATGTTTTCAGGTGGCAGGCGGTGTTCAAATGATGGATGCTATTCATTAGGTTCAGCAGATTAGCATAGCTCCAACATTCCATTTCTCTAATACACTTGTCATTATGTCTGATTGGCAATCCAACTGTGTTATCCAACATGTATGAGCTCAATCTGTTCCAGGAAGGTTCCAGCAAGGTTGCAAGCAAGGTTGCAAGCAAGGTTCCAGCAAGGCTCCAGGAAGGTTCCAACAAGGTTCCAGGAAGGTTCCAGCAAGGTTCCAGGACTGTTCCGGTTTTTCAGGGCGTGCATTTTCGTGGCACCACCCCCCGGCCCCAGAGATTGAAACCCAACACTATCGCTGTTGGGACTAGTTCTATCAGCTTCGGACTTTCTTTGCCAATGCTGGGCTGGAAGCATGTGAGCCAGATCAATTTATTGACAGTCGGGTACAGTCAGAAAGTGCTTGGCAAAGTCGCCGAGTTCTTGCGCTTCAGTGCACCAGGACTTACCACCCCCGGGACAAAAGTAGTGGCATTCTCCACTGTCCTGATAAAGTAGAGCATAATCTCGCGTTGTGTGTATATATATATATATCTGGTTGGTGGTTGAGCCACCCCTCTGAAAAATAGTAGTCAATGGGAAGGATGACATCCCATTATGGAAAATAAAAAATGTTTGAAACCACCAACCAGATATATACAATTATATACATGTCTATATAGAGAGTATGCACGCCTTCTCTACCATATTGACAATGTAGGTAAACCATATGCCTGCAATTTCAGGCACAGCATTGCACCTTGTCTTTCTGAAACTGACATGATGCATGTCTGGACTGTGCACATGCCTTTTACTTGCAGGTCTTCAGCACCTTTCCATCACCTTTCCATATCAATATAGTATCAATATATCAGATCTCTGGCGAGGAATTCTACAGCCACTCCGAGCGTTCCGCGATCTGAGGCACAAACGAACTCTGATCTTCTGCCTGGTCAACGGGAGTCAACGGGCAGGGAAAATCCTCAAGTTTGTGTGGCAATCCAAACTGAATTCGCATATAATTCTTCTACCATGTTCCACCAATAGTTCTATCATGGTCTACCTCCTGTTGTGAGATCGCTCCACACGAATCCCTGGGTTGAACAGCTTCGCATAGCTACGGGCGCCTCACAGGACCTCAAGACTTCAGCTTCTTCAAAGAAGGCCTCAGGCGCCCAGCGGTTGGATTTCCATCCCCAACAGGGTGGGCAATGCTGCTGTTGTCACTCGAACCAATTTCGAAACAGCCTTGCGGGACAAGTAATTCCCTATCATATGTAAACATATGTGTACTATGATTCCACCATGATACTCTTTTACCATCACATGACTTTCCACAACCCTTCACCGAAATCCTTGGGGGCGGCCTGAACTTCCCGGTGACGCGCCAGCGGTGCCAAGAAAGGCACAGCTTGGCTCAGTCGGCCCAGAGCCTGGTAACGTGGATAAAAAGAAAGTGATGTTTCTATAGATTCCTAATGATAGCCTATGGAGAGTGTTCACATATATATATATATACATATATATATATATGTGTATATATATATTAGAAATAGAAGTGGAAATGAGGTTACAGAAATCAAAAAACTAGTAATGATGGATACAATGATGTATGTGACGTATAAAAATCGAAATGAAGTTGTTCAGCCGTTGGACAAGTCCAAACAAGGAGAGGACGCTGTCCACTGCCTAGTTGGCACCGAGAAAACTGATGAATCTGAGATGCTGCAAAAATGGAAAACAGGATTGAAGTCACCATGAGACCATTATTGGTTCAGGACAAACCAGAAGCCAAAAAAAACAGATACCAAAGATGACCAAAGAAACAACGCAAAGCAAAATGGTATGTATCATAAAAAGAAATGCAAACGTGGTCAGCTTAGTCTGCCACCTATTCTAATATTTTCACATATTCTCACCACTACTAAAGCAGAGTCAGTTTCGATAGTGGCTGGAGTCTTGGTCAGGTCCCATCTCTTCAGTCGTCATACCAGATTGGCTCAGTATTTTTTCAGTGTTAGACAATTCTTACCCGCACTGGAAGTAGTTGGGCCACGTATTGGGCCGCTGGCCATCGGAATAGAAGGATAGGATAGGACAGAATAGAATGGGATAGAATAGAATAGAATGGGATAGAATAGAATAGAATAGGATAGAATAGAATAGAATAAAATAGAATAGAATAGGATAGGATGAAATAGAATAGAATAAAATAGAATAGGATAGGATAGAAGAGAATAGAATAAAACAGGAGAGAATAAAATAGAAAAGAATGAAACAACATAGAATAGGATAGAAAAGAATAGAATAGGAATTAAAAAAGAATGGAAAAGAACAAAATAGAATAGAATAGGAAAGAATAGAATAGAGTAGAGTCGAGTACAGTAGAAAAGAAACAAATAGAATGGAATAGGATACAATAGAATAGAACAGGATAGAATAAAAGAGAATAGGAAAGAATACGGATAGAATAAGATCAAATAGGATAGGATAGAATAGAATAGAATAAAATAGAATAGAATAGAATCAAATAGAATAGAATAGGATAGAATAGAGTAGAATAGAATAGGATAGAATAGAATAGAAAATAAAAACGGATAGGATAGAGTAGAATAGCGTAGAATAGAATAGAATAGCATAACATAGAATAGGATAGAATAGAGTAGAATAAGATAGAATAGAATCAAATAGAATAGGATAGAACAGAGTAGAATAGAATAGAATAGGATAGAATTGAATAAAATAGAGTAGAGTAGAAAAAAATAAAGTAGAATAGAATAGAATAGAACAGAATAGGATAGAATAAAATAGAATAGGACAGGATAGAATAGAATAGAACAGGGTAGAACAGAATAGAATAGAATAGGATAGGATAGAATAGAATAGAATAAAATTGAATAGGATCGGATAGAATTGAATAAAGTAAAAAAGAATGAAATAATAAAAATAGGTTAGAATAGAATAGAGTAGAATAAGAAAAAATAGGATAGAATAGAATAGATTCGTGTAGAATAGAATAAAATAGAATAGGATAGGACAGAATAGAATAAAATAGAGTAAGATAGGAAAGAACAGAATAGAAAAAAAGCGATAGAATAGGATAGAATAATATAGAGTAGGATAGAATTGGAAAGGCTAGAATAGAGTAGAATAGAATGAAATAGAATAGGATAGAATAGGGTAGAATAGAATAGAGTAGAATAGATCAAAAATAGAATAGGATAGAATTCGGAATAAAATAGAAATTAGAAAAGGAGAGGACAGAATATAGAATAGAATAGAAATTAGAAAAGGAGAGGACAGAGTAGAATAGAATAAAATAGAACAGGAAAGAAGAGAATAGAAAAAAGTAGAATAGAATAAACATAGAAAAGGATAGGAAAGAATAGCATAGAAGGGGATAGGATAGGATAGAATAGGTCAGGATAGAATAGAATAGAAATAAACAGAAAAGAATGGGTTAGAATAGAATAGAATAGAAAAGAATAGAATAGAATAATCAAATAGAATAGGATAGAATAGAATAGGATACAATAGAATAGAATAGGAAAGAGCAAATAGAACAGATTAGAATAAAATAGAATAGAGAAGAACAGAATAGATAGGATAGGATAGAATAGAAGAGAATAGAATAGGATAGTAGAATAGAATAGACTAGAATAGACTAGAATAGGATAGGATAGCATACAATACGATAGAATCAGATAGGATAGGATAGAATGGAATAGGACGGCATAGAATAGAATAGAATAGAATAGGATAGAATAAAATAGAATAGCATCGGATAGAATAGAATAGAATAGAGTAGAATAGAATACGTAGAATAGAATAGGATAGAATATAGAATAGAAAAGAAAAAAACAGGCTAAAAAAGAATAGAGTAGAATAGAATAAAATAGAACAGGAAAGAAGAGAATAGAAAAAAGTAGAATAGATTAGGATAGGATAGGATAGATTAGAATAGGACAGAATAGAATAGGATAGGAAAGGATAGAAGAGAGTAGGATAGAATAAAACAGGATAGAATAGAATCAAATAGATTAGGATCCGGTAGAATAGAATAGAATAGAATAGAATAAAATAGAACGGAATAGAAGAAAATCAAATAGAATAGAAAAGAATAGAGTCAAAAAGAATAGAATAGATGAAGTAAAAAAGAATAGAACAGAATAGACTAGAATAGATTAGAAAAGACTGGAATAGACTTAAATAGAATAGAATAGGATAGAATAGGATAAAATAGAAAAGGACAGAATAGAATAGAATAAAATAGAATAGAATAGGATAGAATAAAATAAAATAGAGAAGAATAGGATAGAATAGAACAGAATAGAACAAAATAGAATAGATTAGGATAGAATAGAATAGAACAGAAAAGAAGAGAATTGGATAGAATAGAATAGGGTAGGATAGATAAGGATAGGATAGAATAGAATAGGATAGACTAGAATCGAATAAAATAGAGATGAATAGGATAGAATAGAACAGAATAGAACAAAATAGAATAGATTAGGATAGAATAGAATAGAACAGAATAGAATAAAATACAAATGGAATAGAATAGGATAGAATAGGATAGGATAGAATAGGATTGGATAGGATAGAATAGAATAGGATAGACTAGAAAAAAATAGGAATAGACTAGAATAAAATAGAATAGGATAGAATAGAATAGGATAGAATAGAATGGAATAATCTTAGAATAGAATCAGATAGAATAGGATAGAATAGAATAGAATAAGATAGAATAGAATAGGAATAGGAATAGAATAGGATAGAATGGGATTGAATAGGATAGAATAGAATAGACCAGAATAGTATAAAATACACATGGAAAAGAATAGGATAGAATAGAATAGAATAAAATAGAATAGCATAGGATAGAATAGAATAGAATAAAATAGAACAGAATAAGATAGAGTAGAATAGGATAGAATAGAATAGGATAAGATAGAATAGGATAGAATAGAATAAAATAGAATAGTATAGGATAGGAAAGAATAGGATAGAATAAAATAGGATAGGACAGAATAGAATAGAATAAAATAGAATAGTATAGGATAGGAAAGAATAGGATAGAATAAAATAGGATAGGACAGAATAGGATAGAATAAAATAGGATAGAATAGGATAAGATAGAATAGGATAGAATAGAATAAAATAGAATAGTATAGGATAGGGAATAGGATAGAATAAATAGGACAGGACAGAATAGAATAGAATAGAATAGTATAGGATAGGACAGAATAGAATAGAATAAAATAGAATAGTATAGGATAGGACAGAATAGGATAGAATAAAATAGGATAGGACAGAATAGAATAAAATAAAATAGAATAGTATAGGATAGGAAAGAATAGGATAGAATAAAATAGGATAGGACAGAATAGAATAGAATAAAATAGAATAGTATAGGATAGGAAAGAATAGGATAGAATAAAATAGGATAGGACAGAATAGAATAGAATAAAATAGAATAGTATAGGATAGGAAAGAATAGGATAGAATAAAATAGGATAGGACAGAATAGAATAGAATAAAATAGAATAGTATAGGATAGGAAAGAATAGGATAGAATAAAATAGGATAGGACAGAATAGAATAGAATAAAATAGAATAGTATAGGATAGGACAGAATAGAATAGAATAAAATAGGATAGGACAGAATAGAATAGAATAAAATAGAATAAAATAGGATAGGACAGAATAGAATAGAATAAAATAGAATAGTATAGGATAGGACAGAATAGGATAGAATAAAATAGGATAGGACAGAATAGAATAGAATAAAATAGAATAGTATAGGATAGGAAAGAATAGGATAGAATAAAATAGGATAGGACAGAATAGAATAGAATAAAATAGAATAGTATAGGATAGGACAGAATAGGATAGAATAAACAAGAATAGAATAGTAAAACCACCAACCAGCGACATTGTCTTTCCAAATCTGTTCGCTGCCGACCTTGGAGGCTTTGGCAAATCGCACCGCAGCTTTCACGTGACCATCATCCAGCCGCAGGCACCATGACGCATCGCTCATGCAAGCTTCATACCGCCTGGGCTTGGTGGCAGAAAGCCATGAGTTCTTTGGTGTTCGAATGTGTTAGACCATGTTAGACCTTCCAATTTTAGGCTACAAATATGGTAAGATGATGCAAAATGGATATAATGATTAATATATATATATTAATATAATGGATAAGGTCATTCTTCAGCCATACTGTACCCATTCAAGTCATTGAATGCGGCCCGGGGTGCACCAGCTTTGGGAACGATGGCAATTCCACGCTCCAGTGATGTTCATAGAGCTTATGGAGTGTATACTGATACCTGAACTTTAAACATCCTAAACAAACAAATATCAAAAAAAACATCTGATTGTGATACAGGCTACTGAGAGCAAAATTCCACCTGTTGAAAACCATCTCTCAAAAAGAACTGCGGTGTTCCTGAAGCGAAATGAATCACCAATGGATAGCGCACGGGTCATGCTGGGACAAGCAACTGTAAGCGCAGACGTGCTTCAGCACGATTCGCCAGCAGAGCAACCTGGACCGCTAACTTTCTACCATTTTCTATCCACCAAACCGTGAGGGCCCAGGCGTCTGCACCATGGTCTACTTGATAAGCAAAAAGAACAAGTCTGTTTTATCAAATCGATTCAAACCATCTATAAAGCATGCATAGAATATAATAGAATAAATCAAAGCAGTCCCATCAGCCCTAGTGAGGCAAGTCATGATTGGGACGGATCGACGCCAAGTTCTTCGAGACAGGATTTTGGCAGCAGGACATACGCGAGGCATCTGCGGAGACGAGCTACTATGCGTGAAGCGTAGCGGAGCCTTGCGCGTTTTCCTTTCAAACATGTTCAATCACTATTTACCCTACCACTTGAAGCAACTTGGAATTTGGTCGCAGCAGAATCGCGGGTCTGCTTTATCCTGTTCTGCGCTTCCTTCCTGCTGTAAGATTAAAGTCTCGCAGTCTCGCCAAAAAAACGCCTCGGATTTCAATTCATGCGTTCATTGCCAGCTAGCGGCGTTACAGGGATGCTGCGGAAGCCTACGCTCTTCCCGCATGTTCCAATCCTGTTCAAAGCGCGCGCTTCAAGCGCACCCGTTTTTTCCGCTGCGGAACAATTAGTTGAACATGCTCTATTCATCTCTACTCAATCAACAGAAACAACGCACAAAACAGGCCGGAAAGGAGGCGAACGATGAGTCCCTTTTGGCTTCGGAGATGGGAAAAGAATGGAAAAAGAAACGGTTTGTTACGTTCGAACAAAATTAATCAACATGGATCTCCTCCCTTGGTTCGAACATTTTCACCCACAATCCAGGGAAATTCTGAACATAATATGTCAACCAAATTACAACCAGGTCGTGATCCCTGGCCGCCTGCAGCTCCTTTAAGTCCATGGAAGATTCCACCATCTCTTCATAGCCTGGACAAGGCTATGGTAATGTCAGGTGGCGAATTATGGTGGAGAAGACCGAAGCAAGTGGAGGAACCACAAAATTAGATCATATTATGTAGACAATATTCGATGATATTGGATGATACTGGATGATAATGAATGCACTAGATTGTTCGTAGAGTCCATATTGTTCAAAAAAAAGTACCCAACATTACCCAACAATGTATGAACCTCAAAATGAGGATTCTAGCGTCTCCTGGACCAATCCTTGTCCCCCAAACCGCTGTTTGGAAGCCAGGCCGGTAAAAATGACTGCTTGACCACAATCGTTCTACATCAATTGTTTGCAACTCGAAAATCCTTCATTTGTAGATGCTTTTCCCATTCAAAGCCTCCATTTACACGGGGAAATCATGGGAAATCCCATTGCTGTTGATATCTGTTGATGTTTGGTTCCGCTATGTTCCGCTTCAAACTTCCACCGTTCCCGACCCTCCATCGTAGTGAGGGCCTCACCTTGGAAGGGTGAAATCCGCGGGATGTCCGAGCATCATTAACCTATACTGAACACTGCTATACTACGGCAATTAGGATAGTTTATGATAGTTTATAATTGATGATACTGAACATGTTTCATGAATGTTTATGATAGTTAGTCATGATAGTTGACAAATGTTAATGGTGGAAGATTGTGGAATCATCACCATTGAAAGGCGGTGTCAGAGCACGTCAAAACGACGCAATGGAATGGTCACACATCCACAGGAAATAGTTCTCCCATTCCGCGCATTTCTGCAACACCCCTTTCCCAATCTTCCCGGCATACATACCAAAAAAAAGCAACCCGTTGCACATCACACAGGCACATGACCCACCACAACTTAGGATGGTTCATGTCTAATTTCGCGCGGAAGGTGCTGAATATTCCATATTCCGTTTCCCGATTGTGGTGCCAAATCGTTTGGGGAATTCTTTTCCAGTTTGGGGATGATCTTCTGCTTGGATGCTGCTTGGGACTAGGATTTTGTAAACGTCGCGGAAGGGCTATGTTTTGGACAATTTACGCTGCTGCAGTTGGGCTACAAATGATGCTGCTTGTAGCCACACTTCGGTTTATTTCGGGTTGGTCTAGGGGTTTATTGAAGGGTTTATTATGGGTTGGTTTAGGATTATTCAGGGCTGGTTTAAGGTTTAGTGATGGTTTCGGTTTGGTTTAGGGGGTATTTAGGGTTGGTTTATTGTTTCTTGAGGGTTGCTTTGGGGTCTATTGAAGGTTAGTTTAGGGTTTATTTCGGTTTGGTTTAGGGTTTACTTGGGGTTGGTTCAGGGGTTAGTTTAGGGTTATATAATTTTGATTAATTTAGTGTTTCTTCAGGCTTGGTTTGAGTGTATTGAAGGTTGGTTTAGGGCTGGTCTAGGAATCTAATTGGGTTGATTCAGGTTTTATGCAGGGTTTGCTTTTTGTTTCTTTAGGGCTGGCTTAGACTTTCTTTATGGTTGGTTTATAGTTTATTTAGGGCTGCTTTATTGCTTCGTTTGGATTAGTTTAGGATTGATTTGGGTTTATCTAGGTTTGGTCTAAGATTTTTGAAGGGTTGGTTATTATATATATATAGATAATGTAAATTTAGGGCCTATATATAGGGTTGGTTTAGTGTTTATTTGGCAGAAAAGCAGAGAAGTAAAAAAAACATGAAAAAGAAATAAATCAGAGAAACATAGAAGCGGAGAAAGCAGGGAAACGGACAAGCAGAAAGGCGGAAAAGCGAAGAAGCAGAAAAGCAAAGTAGAAAAACAAGCAAAAAAAGGCAACGGCAGCCAGACATAAATTTGGAAAAAACGAAATAAAAAAAAACTGACCCTTCCAATTGTAAATCCTGGGACAAGCCTTTTTTTGTGAAACGAGGCCATAGTCTTTCTATTGCGGCTTGTACTCCCCTCCCATCGCGGGAACACGCTGGATTTGATCAAATTTCCATGTTTTTGGATCGTTCAATGATGGCATATGATGGCCCATGGCTCAGCAATGATGAGATGCCGCACACAGACCTTCAGAATCAATACTTCAAAAACGAATTTCTGTAATTTGTGGATCCCCACAACAGGAAGCTTCTTTCCAGCGTACAGTTGGACCAACTAAATCCAATTTCGTGAAATTTGGGGATCCCCAACTTGATAAATCGCCACATGAACTACAGTAACCACAGTTTCTTCACATGATCTTCACATGTAACCCTGGATTGACGATGTTGACCCATTTCTCCGGATTCTTGTTACTTTTCAGTGACATACAATAAACAATTCCTGCCACAAGAAGGTCCAAATCGTCCCAACTGTGGTGGGCACCAAATCGATGGTGCTGCTGGGGTCAAAAATGACTTTGTGAATCGAAACCTGAAATTATTGAAAGGAACACTAAGACAAGGACTCAAAAAAATGGAAGATGTTCTCTTTCCAAACATATACTTGGCATCACTTGGCTGTGCTGAGATCACAAGAGGTTGTGTTTTCCGGAACCGGCTCAGGAAAAATATGGAAAAGGTATGACAGCTTGAAACGTACCAAAACAAAAACAGCAATGTTCCGCGATGCGATTTAACATCTCCTTCAATGTGATGATGTCCATCCAGAAAGTGGGAGCATAGTGAGCTTTGAGACCCTTCCAGTGATGCTAAGTGACTGTAGAGTCTGTCAGCTTCTTGATGGTGTCCAGCTTTTATCGCAACATTTCCTTCCTCCTCTGGCAGTTTCAGCCCAAAATGAATAAGCTGACTTGGGGATAATGCTCCTGTTGGTTGGGAATGGGAAATAAACAAATATGTGAAACTACATGACCAGAGTGCGGGTATTACCCTGTGCGATGCCCCCTCTTTTGGGTGATCTTCCCATTAACAATCATCAACACACACCTGCTTTTGTTCGTATTACCACCAAGCGGTCCTTCAATCTTCCTGACACCTTCTGAAAATGCTCCAGCCACGTGGTCTTTACAACCTCAGCTACAAGAAAACCCTTTGGAAAAGGCCTGCCCCAGTGACGTTCCGAAGAATCGACCACATCCCGTCGTACCAAGAGGCGGCTTGCGGGGCTGGAGGGGGTCCATAGAAACCTGGGTGCAGGACTTCTTTGTGCTGCATCTAACTAGTGATGCAAAATCTCAGGATTTGGGTTCAACTATGTTCAACTCATCAAAAAAGCATGCTCGTCTTCTGAGGGGTTGCAAAATTCTGATCCTTCTTGGCTTATATGATCAAGAGCTGGGGTTCTACCTCCACCTTTAATAGATCTTATTTTTGTCATCAGTCACCAGTGAGGGTTAGAATTGCCGCTGTTCTGCTGTCACAAGTCGCACTTTGAACAACTTGGAACTGAGCCCGTGGCATTGCCAGCCATCAGACTTGATCATGAGGTCTTCACTGCGAAGACCGTAGAAAGGTTTTCCTGAGGGTTCGAACCGGTCCCAACATGTTATTGTATTTGAATATGCAAGGAGCTTGGAAAACTTCGAAAATCAAGCTTGTGTAGGTACAATTTCTGAGAGACATATATCTAGTGAAACGTCTTTTGGGTTAACTTCTCACAGGGAAAGAAATGTGTATATAAGTTGGTGAAAATGACAAGCATCACGACTGCAATGAACTGATGATGCTAATGGTTGTGAGAATGAGAGATAAAGACCAGGATGATACTACCTCTAACATCCTCTGCCGATGATAATGAAGAGGGCAGGAGGGGTTGATAATGCTGTTGTTGTTGATGATGATGATAAATATGATGATAATATGATGATAAATATGATGATAAATATGATGATAAATATGATGATAAATATGATGATAAATATGATGAATATGTTGAAAATATGATGATAAATATGATGATAAATATGATGATAAATATGATGATAAATATGATGATAAATATGATGAATATGATGAATATGACGAATATGATGAATATGATGAATATGATGAGTATGATAATATGATGTATCTGATGAATAGAATGAACATGATGAATATGATGAATATGATGAATATGACGAATATGATACATATGCTGAATATGATGAATATGATGAGTATGATAATATGATGAATATGATGAATATGATGTATATGAATGTATATGATGAATAGAATGAACATGATGAATATGATGAATATGATGAATATGATGAATATGATGAATATGATGAATATTAATGAATATGATGAATATGACGAATAGAATGAACATGATGAATATGATGAATATGATGAATATGACGAATATGATGAATATGATGAATATTAATGAATATGATGAATATGATGAGTATGAATATGATGAATATGATGAATAGAATGAACATGATGAATATGATGAATATGATGAATATGATGAATATGAAGAACATAATGAACATAATGAATATGATGAATATTACGAATAGAATGAACATGATGAATATGATGAATATGATGAATATTACGAATATGATAAATATGATGGATATGATGAATATGATGAATATGATGAGTATGATAAATATGATGAATATGATGAATATGATGAATATGACGAATATGTTGAATATGATGAATATGATGAATCTGATGAGGAGAAGGAGGTGGAGGTCGACGACGACGGCAATGACGATGATGACGACCACCACCACCATGACAACCATGACGACGACCACGATGACAATGAAAATCGCGATGACAAATGACAATCATGAGGACAATGACAATCAAGAGAACGACGCTAGCATCGAGAACCATAGCGTCCATGATGATGTTCATCGTATCGATTACCAATGATGCTGGGAAAATGACACCCTGACCATGGCTGGTGCGTCTTGAAACAGCACTTGTGTTTGAATCGGGAATGGAAGCAGGCCCAGCACATTACAATGCGAATCTGGCGTCGGTCTTTCGACAACAACCATCCAAAATGAAGTTCCTCCTGAGCTTCCGAGGAAATCAGGCTACATTGTATAACAAGCAGGTCATAGGGGCAGTAAAGCCAACAATTATTGAAATTTGACTGGTCAATGATGGGCATACTAAAAGTCATGGAAATATACAGTAATCAGTCATATCATTATCTATACTACAAATTGAATGTAATGTGTCACTAAAGGGACTCAAGAGTCATCTCCCATTTCTCAGTCCACTTTCTAAGGGCAACTCAATGGTTTTGGGTCGCTAATTTGTTCGACTTCCTGCAGTCTGCTTGTGGGCGAACCCCATCAGAAGACGTATGATTCTTCATTACAATCAACCTAAGTATACCCGTGCAAATATAGTTTATAGATGTATGCATGTGTATAGATAAAATGTATAATGTATGTATGTATATATATATATAATATCATATATATTCATATATCATGATATATAGATATATTATATAATATAAAAACGTATTACTGCATATAGTATATAAACTGTAATATACTATAAATCATGTTTAAGATTATGATACAAAATATCTAATATATACTTAAAAAAAACTTAATACATAATATATGACATATATAAATATGTCATACGCAATATATCGAAATATATAATACATCGTATATAATATATAATATATGATACACAAAATACAATATATAATATATATATATATCATATTTTACATAATATACAATATATTTTATATAATATATTAAATGTAATATATAATGTATAATAAATAATAAATGATATAATATATATATAATATTTAAAAAAAAATAAATAATATATAATTGGTAATAATTAGTATATAATACAGTATATATGATACATGATATATAATATACTGAATGATATATAATGAATAAAAGAAATAAATAATGTATAATATATATATATATATATCTAAAACAATATAAACTATAATATGTAATGTATAAAATATAATATATAATATATAATATATAATATATATTAAAATATATATAATATATAATATATAATATATAATATAAAATATACAACATAATATATATATATATATTGATATTTTAATATGTGACATACGATATATATAATATATAATATATAATGCTATAAAATATTTAATATACAATATATAGTATATAACATAAAAAATAATATATATAATATTTAGAATATAATATATAATATATAATATGTAAAATACAATATAATATACAATATAAAATATAATATCTCACAAATAATATATAATATGATTTATGATATGATATATAATATGTCATATATAAAGTATTATATACTATATATAGGTTTAATAAATAATATATAATTTATAGTACATAATTTATGACATATAGAAATATATCATATATATAAAATATATGTAGTACACGATGTATGATCTAAAATATAAAAATCACAATATATATAAAACATATTCATAATACATGGTATTTTTTTATCTACTTTATTTTTTTTATTTTATATTTATTAAATATTATTATACATCAACTATCATACAATATATTTTATATATTATATATCATCTAAAATATACAATATATAAAATATTATCTATATTATTTAATTTATTATGTATTATATATTAAATAAAACATTTTACATTGTACATTATATGATAGTATACATTGTATATAATGCAAATTATATAATATATTATAATTATATATATTATAATGTAAAATATATTATAATTATATATATATATTATAATGTAAAATATATAATATATAATATATATAATACATATTATATAATACATCTTATATTGTATATTATATACACTATCAAATTTATAATGCAAAACATACAATATACAATATATATTATGTCATAGATAATATATGATATAATAGACAATACATCATATACCATATATCATAAATAAATATATAATATGTAATATATTATACATACTATATAACTTATACATACACAATACATAATATACAATATATAATATATAATATATTTCATAATAATCAAAATATAAAATATATCACATACAATATTTAATATACAATATTTAATTTACAATATATAATATACAATATATAATATACAATATATAATATACAATGTATAACTTACCATGTAAAATATACAATATAATATATATATAATATAATTAAATTAAATCAAATTATATTACGTTATATTATAATTATATAACTAAAATATAATATATAATATATATTATACATATATACATACATGTATCATTTTATCAAATATATAACAGATAATAAGTACATGCGTGTAATATATTTAATATGTATATAATATATAATAAAGCAGAATATGTTATATATAATGCATATTCTGCATATTAAATCATATAAAATTGTAGAAGCTATACGTGATATGTCATACACCTATATACATCTATACAAGACACCTGCAAACACCCTGAACCGTTCAAACCGGTAAGAACGGATCTCCTCGTCCTCTTCGCCAATCTGCTGGAGCTCGGGGACCTTGGGGACACCGACTAAAAGGGGTCCACCTTTGGTATTCTCCGGTTGAAGGATCTTCAGCTTTTCGTGCAGCTGAGCTCTTCATGATTATTTCATAGTGTTTTATGTTTCAAAGAATTGTCCTCCTTCATTCCAGAGTCCAAAGGAGTCTAGTTCTTTCAGAGGTTTAATCACTTGCCTTTGCTCCTGTTTGAAAGGTTTCGGGCCGCTTGGAAGCAAAAGCCCTCAAGCATGGAAAACACCCTGTGACATGGGGGATGTTGGTGACTCAGACTGACTGTCATGTCTCAATCCTCTGCCATCTGTTTGAACTGATACAGAAATGCAACAGATTTGAACTCCCAAGTAGAGCTGCTACAGTTGATCCACTCTGCTGTAAGGCGCATTGTTATTTTTTGCTTAAGCGGGTGGATGATGGTGGATGTGCATAAGATTCCTTTGCTACTTCGTCCAACCGCAACAGTCCTTTAGACACGTTAATGGCAACAGTCCTTTAGACACGTTCATCTGTCTTCAGCAACAACTGGGTTCACCCATTTTGTGACAGTCCCAAACAGATCATGATGATAAATCACTCATAAACCCCTCCGGCTTTAGGAACCATCCAGCAAACGACTCGGCCAATTGTCAGTTTAACTAGCAGTTGTCCGGCACCTGAAAATTGGTGCTGGTCAGCTGCTGGAATCAACACTGGTCAGGATATGTTAGGTGCAAAAAGTTCACAAAACCGCAGGGCACCACCTTGACACGACAAACACAAAAATACGGGGGGCACTGTAGGCACTATACAAACGGTTGGACAGCGTGTCTATCAACACTCACAGCCTTTTTGACCAAAGTTGCCCCACAAGTTTTCAATAGTTTTCAACATCTTTTTACCCATCAATGCCGCAGATTCCATAAGGATTCCCCATGATTCCCCAACCAGTGGCGACCAGTGGCCTTCTTCCAAGGCACTCGGTCACGATGGAGCACCCAGCCACTCGCGCTGCGATACACTGGAGCTCCTTGAGCCGAGGCCTCGACAAAATCGTAACCTGCGAGGCTGGGGGATGCTCAGCTCAGCATCGAAAACTATTTTCAGGCGTTTTTTGGAGACCATCTAAATTAGGTGAACACGTGTTAAAACAACGTGGAATTTTCATACACCTCAAAAACTTGAACAAATGGTGTGTGTGTGTGGGTGAAGCTATATTGTGTACCCCAAACTGCGAGTTGTGGAGTCTCAAATCTTGAGACTAAGACCATTCTGGGATGGTGGAAAATAACTTCTTGAATTATGTTACTGCAGGTAGCTGCTGGTGGGAGGGGTAGGCCGGTATTCAAGACATCCTGTAGCCCGAATGATGAAACTAATCCGTTGACCAGTAGCAGCCATCACACTCGGCACAGCCGCAGCCAGATATCTCGTAGCTGCCTCAGCGCTATTCAGACTTGAGCTTGAGAATTGAGCCCTAGAATCACAATCCACAGGAACGAACACAAAAATAAAACAGTTAGTGAAAAGTTCGTAAAGTGGCATGACAAATAGGATGCAAAGCATGATACATATGATACATGATCCAAACCGTGCGTTGCGCGGGCTTTTGCGGCCGAGGAGCAAGCCATGTCAATTAGTTTAGCCTCCAGATTCACCTGGGTACGGATCAACATTTCAGACACCCTTCAAAGAAAGAACAGATGTTGAAATGTTGGTCATGTTTCTTCGTGTTTGCCCCCACCTGTGCTTGTCTTCGATGTTGAACATGGCCATTCGCTGGTGGCGCAATGGCCGTGCGACTCTCCTTCACCCTCCTTGATGCACCGGCCGAGTAGCATTTCTCGATACAGATGGTGCTGGGTCATCAATAATTGGCATCCTAACGGTATACAATGAGTGATTCACACACTAAAGTAATGTTTATGCATATGTATTAAATTGTGTATATAGATACTATAGATATATAATATCACATTCATCATATACAATCATACACATATTATATCTATTACAATATTATATGTACAGTATATTATTAGATAGATAGACAAATAGATCAAAGTTGGGATCGTCTAGGTTTTGTTGTGCTTCCTTGGGCCCACCACAAAATGAATAGCGATGGCGTGCCCTCCTAGTTTGGGGTCAATTTCCATGTTTGCTCAGGCAAAAAAACAATAAAAAACATGTTCATTGCCCAATATGCTAAGAATTAACACACATGTGTAATTGTCTCACAGTCTTACAATATCTTACAATATCAAGTTGAAGCCACAGCACCTTGGCATATCAGATAATATCTGGTAGCAGTGCAGGACCCTATTCGAAAGCAAAGGTCTTTGACAAACTGTACTTGGATCCAACTACCCGTTAGAACCCATTGGCGGGTGTTAACGATCAGCATCTTCCCTGCAAGATTCATACTCATCTCATTCTCAAACTCCTCAGCCTCTTTCTCCTGCTCTCTCTGTTTTCGCTCTTCTTGCCGATGTGCATGAATCTGCCGCATGGCATTCCTGGGTGGTGCAAATTGCATCAAATCGCAACATTTCAAACGTGGCACCACTGGTTCCATGACCATCAATGAGGCGCTCGACAAACCATCCAACTTGACTGAAAGGAGGACTCCCAAAATGGAGACGCGCTTGCCGCGCTTCATATCGATTACTAGTCTTCTACTTACTCAACACACGCTCACCAATCCTGCCAACATTGATTTGGGCCCATGTTTGCAGCAAGTTTCGGGGGCGGAACGGGTCGCTGCGATTGCGACAGATCTCCGATGTGAGCATAGCAGCTTCCGTCGTCATCAAATTTCCGCCCACCGCCATACTGCTGTTGAAGAGCGCGTAAAGCCTCAGCAATCGGAAACAGAAAAGCGCTCCAATAGGACTGAAGCTCAGAATGAAGATGAATGAAGTAAGTACATTTAACATATAAATTTGTGTCCATATATTAAGAAAGCACTTCACACAGGCTCAGGGTCATCATGTCTCATTTGAAGCAATCCCGAGTTTAGGAAGTCAAAATCAGACTTGCGCTGCTTTGCTTCTGCTGTGACCATTGGGATCTTGGCTAAGAAACCGTGGGATCTGCCACTTTCTGCGGTGCATCAAGTGGTATCGTCCCAGGCATGGCGGGAGACAACTCTTGTCACGCAGCCATCACACTGTTGCCATAGTATATGTGTATATGTATATAGTAGTATATGTATAGTCTGTATAGTATATGTATAGTATATGTATATGGTAGTATATTTGATGTCGTCACCTCTAGCGACCAGGTGTGCCAAAGTCGAATAGAACTCCCGAGATCATGGCGCGTCTTTGATGTTCCAGCTCTGAAGCCTGGTACAGAATGGCCTTGGATAGGCTCATTCTTCGGCTCTGATCCAGCCTGTGGAACAGCTTCTGTTGACTGATGAGCTGCCCTGAACTGCCTTGAGCTAACAAAAATCTGACAAATATGATCAAATGCGCAATCTGAGTGCGTCCTCATGATCATCTTTCTGCCCTGACAAAGTTCATCAAAGTGGGTCATAAACCATCATCAACGACCAGAACGATCAGTTGACCTACGGGTCTCAACTTGTGATTTTTTTGATTGAGACGTGCAACTTATCTTCCACGGTGGCAATTTTCCTATTGGTACAAGTATTGCAGGGAATTCTCTGGTGTTCAGAAGCCAAATAGGATGAACTGACCAAACTTTGGACCAGGTTCCTACGGTCCCCAAAAAACAACACATCAAAAGAACTTGGAGCCTGGACGAAAAAATTGTGTCAAGCATGTTCCTATGGTATCTAGAAATCGGTGGAAATGCCACCGAAAGACAGAAAACAAAGCCTTTTCAGTCCAGATCTTTATCAAGTGGCGGTGACTTTGCTACTTTGAGCTGTCATCCGCCAGGCCTGTCACAAATCTGGTGCTCCTCAGTTTCTGGCAAGCAGCATAATTCCAAAACAAAATTGAGATTCCACGCTGTTCCATGCCTGCATCTTGAGGTTAGACCATGCTGGACCAAGTTGGGCTAAGTTGGACCAATTTGACCTTAAGCAAGTCCTTTACATATGTGTGTTTCCGATTCTCAGACAAAACGAACTTTAGAAAACTGTTGCTCCCAGAACCAAATTCAGTAGGCATCAAAGTATGAGAATTGATGAGGTTGCACGCTGAGACCGCCGCGGGGACTATCACAGGGATAACAAATTCAATGACCATTGTGAGACATTTTCGAACAAAGCATCCTTCGCTCCGTGGTGAAAGGTGCCTGGATGACTTGGCTTGTTGTTCAAACAGAGCTCGGAATCGGTTTGAACATGCTTGAAATAGAGACATGCTCTGGTAAACCATCTCTTACACAAAGTAGATCCCCAAACAAAGGGCTGTTGCTTCCGCTAGGGCGCCATCATTCAAGACAAGCGTGGATACGGAGCTTTAAGTGCATGGAATGATAGTGCGAAATAGTGCGACTCTCTATCTTTCTCCGAAGTTTCAATAGATACATTTCAAAAAGCAATCAAATCAATGTGGCTAAGGCAACCTTTGCATTCACAGGCTGATCATTTGATCATGGCAGGTGTGCAGAATTTCCTACTCTGCCGCCGTGCTCAATTTGCTCTTCACCACGCTGTCATCTTGAAGATAGTACCTGCCGGCGGCCTTTCAGAGGTTGGATGAGGTTGGCCGAGGGTTCGCAGAACGAACGCTAGTGGGTTGGGTGCAACGAGGAGGAAAAGGGGGTATGAGGAGCAGGAGGATGAAGATGACAAAAATGGGGTCATGCTACTGCGATGACTATGATGGTGGTGATGGTGGTGGTGGTGGTGATTATCATTTTTAGGATGATGAGGAAGAGGATGACGTCGACAACGACGATGGCCCAAGGGGGATTGAGCCATGCCAAAACTGCTTCCAACACAGCCAGGGGGTGTGTATAGCTGACTGTGAAGTTTCACGTGGCGATCCGTTGGGCCATCCTATGGCTCATCTACATGCTGTGCCGCAACCCACTGCGAAACAATGGGCTGTTCCGGGCGATGAACCAATGGTCCATGGCAAACTCATTTTGGAGGCTCAATTTCTTCAAACTGGTTTGAGCTTGATCATCAAAGTTCCCTAAATCCAATCCAGAAACTTAAACCGAACTGTCTCAGGCCAAGCTGGGGCACTTTTTCAAGACCTTCAAGTTTGCATCGAGCTCGTAGACCAACCTTAGAGGCCAGGGCTAGTAGAGTACGCATGGAAGCGCGACTCTTCGGTGATGTTGATGTCTGGCACATAGAGATATCGATTTGACTATCCATACACCGCATACACATATGATAGATACATATATATATTAAATAAATATATATATATTTAATATATATATATATATATTTATATTATATATATGATATATGTAGGTGGACAGAGATAGATAGCTGTGACTCCCAACGGAACGCCAGGAGCTAACTCAGGGACCTTGCCACGGCCACGGTGTCACCCGACCAGGTTTTTCGGGCATCGCTTTGGGTTGCCACCTTTCTGGGGTCCATGAAAGCCATGGGAGTCAAACTTGGAGCCCAAAACGAGCTACTTAGCTACTTGTTGCTCGTTTTAATTCAGCACTCATGATGTTTACATATGTTTACATATGTTTACCATTGTTTACCTATTTTGGCCAGACAATCATGGTCCGAAGTAAGCATGTTGAGGGAATTCCAAATGCGTTGCTTCAGAGCCGCAGCTATCCATCAGACTCGCAAAGGACCCATGGAAATCCAACAAATGAATCTCTGTGTGCGTGTGCTCATCTTTCACCCTGCTCTCTAAGTTCCAAGGACTGGTTGCCCTTTGATCAACTGTGGAACTTATCTGGATTGTTTCCCGGTGTACAAACGGCGAACATCCACTTGTAGTTTTTGAAGTCCTAGTTGACCACCATGGGCCATTCACAACGTGAACGCTTGGTTGTTCAGGGGATGGATTTCTCAGCATCATTATCATCATGGATGGAGCGTGAAGCCAGCAACGGCTAGAGCGAATTGAGGCGATTTGAGGATTTGAGGATTTGAGGTAGCCAATTCGTGAAGCAACTCCTCATGGCGGCCGCATTGGTGGCTTCCAGCGCGCGCCTTGTCATCAGGCAAATCCTGCGGGGTGTCTGGGAACACCATCGATCTACGCTGACCATAACGAAAATCCCATTGGAATCTGGACATATCTGGATTGGATCATCTCAAGTTCACAATCGTCAATGGGTTTGGTGCACCAAAGTTCTAAAAGTTGGGGAAGAAAGCACCAACCCCTGGCACTGGGCGGATCATCCGAATTACTGGGTAACATCGGTGCTGATGAAACTACTCACCCCAGTCACTAACCAGTTGCAAGTTGTTGGGTCTAATTGTTTATTGGCTGCGTTGATTTAAAAAAAATCCATCCCTTGTTACTGGTTTACATTGTTTACAAATCTTGGATCCCCAGCAGAAAAGAACATCGTTTTTCTGGGTATTAAAATACTCCGCGATATCCAAGTAAAAAGTCAAACCATAATATATATATATATTATATATATATTATATATATATATTATATATATATATATACTATATATATATATTATATATATATATATACATATATTATACTGAAAAGCAAAGTGGCAGGCAATCAGCCCTTTTCCAGAGCGCCTGCCCGTGTGTCTCCCCCACACGATAGGGCCTAAGCCCATGTCTCCGCTGGCGAGGACGCGCTTTGTTCAATGATGCGTTTTGCATCTCTGAAATTCACATGGACCACACTTTATGTTGAACAAAGCGTGGATTTCAAGAAGTTTCTTGTGCCCTGTCTCGGTGAGAGACCATTTTCCAAACTTCATCACTCTTTGCAAGAACCCCGGAGGCATTTTCTTGGTTAATGGGTCTGAAATCATGTTGGTTCCACATACCCACCGGACCTGCCCCTTTGTCTTCTCCAAGTCATCCTTCAAGATCGTCAGATCGATGGCCGTCCGCTTGTCATCTATGTGAGCCGATGTGTTCCGGCACTTGTTCACTGTGTCGTAGAGCGATTTTGAGTCTGTCACTGCTATGAACGGCAGTCGGTGTAGTTCTTGTTCCCAGGTGTCTAGGTTGAGTCGGCCACCTGAGATTTCTGTCAGAAGGAACCTGTGCCAATGTAGGTTTCCGATCCCCTGGATCATTGACTGGCACTCAGCGCTCAGTGTGTTGACGGTGCAGCGCTTCAGTTTGTAGCTCTTCCAAGCTGCTATTGTCATCATCTCCAGTTGTTCTGACACTTCCAAATTGGCGTCATAGTACACCAGGAGGTATCCACCTTGACTGTGTGTTCGAGCCAATTGCAGGAACCTCTCATTGATGGGTCGATTCACCTCCTCTTCTACAGTCGATTTAATGAACGTAGTTCTTCCTGTCCATTGCTGTTCTTGGTGTTCTCGGATTCCATCTTTTCCATCCCATTCGTCACTGCTTGTTGTCATACTCGTTGTGGTCGTTCTTCTCCTGGATATAGTGTGAAGATCTGGTCCTCCGGGAGCTGCGCCAGGATGAAATAGGAGTCGACGTGGAAGGACATGATGTCGTATCCAGCTCGTCTTTGTTTCCTCCCAGTAGTCCTTCTTGGAGTCCTCCAGGTATCTTTCACCGGCATTTCCCCAACTGGCATCGGTAATGACACCGACTCTTAGACGTTCCATTGGGATCGGTTGGATCCTGATCCCAAGGTCGGGTTTTCGTTTGAGCTCCTCTGCGACCTGGTTGGCCTCGACGATGTCTTTGATCATCGGGTTCGGCATGGTCTGTTGTAGGATGGCCACCTTACCAGCTATGTCTGGTCTTGTCTCCTTTGCTACCCATGAAAGTCCACCCAGCAGGGTTCTCAGCTGATTGATCTCCACAGGGGTACATTGTGAGTACCTCTGTCTCTTTCTGGCCTTGTCAATCTTGATGACGTTGATCTTCTCCTCGATGTAGTGTTTCTGGTGGACCAAGATTGAGCCATCATCGGCCGGTTCAACCATCTTCCCTGTGAACTTCCCGCTGCCAGTCGTGTACTTGCCCATCTTGTATTGTTGTTTCAGCCATTCCATGTTGCTCCAGTGTTTCTCGGTTCCACCATGTATCATGTCATCAGTCGCGAGGGCTATCAGGCCTTCAATCCTTGTTTGTTTGTCGTCATAGAGGATGAAAAGGCATGGGTCTGCCTTGCTCTTCCTGTACCCTCTTGATTCGAGCACTCGACTTAAGTGCCTGTACCATTGGTATGGCCCATCAGTCAGGCCATAACAAGTCTTGAGGAGTTTGAGCAGTTGCCGGTCATGAAGTCCAGGAACACCTTCGGGTGGAAGAGAGCAGTATAGTTCCCGGGCGATTTTATCACCACTGTGAAAGGCCTGTGTAAAGTCCAGGTGTCCAATGATCCACTTCATGCTGGCGAGAATCTGAAGGACAAAGAACACGGTGTCCTTGGCCACCTGGGGTGTCGTCGATTCTAAGTCCTCCGCATTGGCTTCAGAATAGCCCTTCATGACATGTCTGGCTTTTGCTTTCAGGACTTCTCCTTCATTGTTGTCTAGGAGCAGACCTTCCTTCTGGAGTGGTTCCACTTCATGTGGTTCTACTGGTTTCTCAGTCAGTACATACCGGCTTTTCATTATCAGATCGGGTTTGTCTCTTCGTATTTGTTCAGACTCTTCTCGGGTGAGAGCCTGGTAAGCTCCTGACTGGAGATTGTTCTTGATTTCCTTGAGGATCGCCTTGTCGAACTTCCTCTGGTCCTTCTTGTCCATGGTCTTGTAGTTGATCTCCTTGCGCTTTCGATTCATGTTCGCCTGCTCCAGCTGTGTGAACATCGTCTCTAGAAGTTCTGCTCGTTGACGTTTCGTCGGCCTTTCTTCATCTTCATCAAGATGTTCTCCATGTCGAACTTGGCCGCGTCCATCATCCTCTGCCTCTTGGTTGATCTCCTCTGGAATCACTGCATGTCGTTCTGATCCTTGCTCAGGCAAGGACTGCTTCTCCATGTCCATCTCGGAGTCGATCACCTCCTCATTCGGAGATCTTGGTTCGAGATCTTCTGTTCTAGCTGGTGTGGTCGGTGCGATCGATAGTGATCTGGGTGTCAGCACCAGCTCCGGCTTCTGTTCTTGGTCTTCTAGTCGTCGTCTCTTTTCGATGCAGGCGTCTGGCTGAAACTCAACCTCGGTCTCTCGATGTTTCCCTGTCAGTCGGTATCTTGGTGCTTGAGGTGGTAGTGGTCCAATGAAGTCCTTGTTGATCTCCGGCTGAAAGTCCAAGGCGTCCGGGGGCTTCTCATCGAGGACGATGTAGCCCTTGTAGTCGCCATCCTTAAGCTTCTTCTTCGTGTCCAGGATGTCTTGAATCCAGTCGGTGAGAATGAACTTCTCCTCCTCTGCTATCGGCCTCAGATGTTCAGGGCAGGCCTTGACAATTCTGCCCCGATGTGCCACCCATACTGTAGTTGGCAAGTTCGTCAGGATGACCTTTGCTGGGCCGTGCCAAAAGTAGGGGTGATTTTTCTTTCCCCTCTCCATTCCCTTTTTCCAGTAGTAGACCGTCTGTCCCACCTCATAGTGCTGCCATACTCGTGGTCCGGCATGTAGTGAGTTTCGAAGTGCTTGTTCACAGTCTGCCTTGTGGTATGCGATCGCTGCCGCTGTGCGTAGATCCACTGATCGCTGAACTTGTAGGTCTCCAGCTGCATATCTTGATGCCGTTGACTGATCATTGAAACCTCCGCTCATGAGGCTTCCTGGGATCCTCGGGCTATATCCCAGCATTCGCTGGATGGGGCTATACCCCGACTTGTTTGCCAGTCGATTGATTGTGGCCGTGACAACATCCACAACCTCATGCCACTCATCCCAGTTGTTGCACGTCACCTCCATCAGTGTTTTTGAGAATACTTCCTTGTAAGTCCTTCCCGCTCGTTCTGTTAAGGATCTCTGCGTTGGTGACTCCAGTGATCCAGGGTCCAGGAAGATGGCATCCTGGTCCATCATCATTTCAAAACACCCCCGGAATTCTTTTCCTAGGTCATCATAGACCCTTTCTGGAGTGCCGAAGATCCTTGTCCACTGTAGGAATGCTTGTCTTGCCGATCTCGGTGTGTGGTCATGTAGGGGTATCACCAGTTGGAACTTGGTGGCCCAGTCAATGATGTTCAGCGCCATCTTCCGCTTTCCATTGAACTGTAATCCTGGGAGGTAGATGGTGTCGACTCCAACAATCTGGTTGGGAGTCAGTTCTCTAGGTGGTGCTGCAGCTCGGGCTGGGGCAGTTTGCCTGTGTCTTTGGCAGACGTCACATTTGAGGTTCTTGGCATATTCTACAGCTTCTTTTCGTGCTCCAGCCTGGTGCAAGATCCTGGCCAGTCTGGCGTTGGCCAAGTGCCCCAGGCCACAGTGAGCCCTGCGCACCAGCTGTTCTACTCCAAGTGGTCGTTCCCGTGGTAACCATGGATTACCGTCTTCTTCTTCATGTTCCTTCTCCTCATCTTCTATTGCAAGACCTTCCTCGTTGATCACTGCCAGGTTCTCCAAGACATCGTTCGTGTCAATCATCTCGTCTTACTTGGTAGTCATGGCATTCTTTGGAGCCTTGTCATACTTTATGTCCTCGTCATTCTTGATAACCTGGTCAATCGGTGGGATCTTGTCATACTTGGCGTTGAAGACCATCTCGGTGTGGTAGATCTCCTCGAAGAAGTCCAGATCTCGTACTACTCGAACACGTTCTTGTAGTGGTTGTTTCAGTGATCTGGCATACGAACCCAGGATGGTGTCAACCAGTTTCTTGGGATACTCTTGAGCCAGTTTAGACCTCGATCCTCCGGGTCCCGAGCCGAACACAGGCAGGTGTTCATGAGTGTGATCACACTGCCGGTCCAATGCCTTAGCGACGGTCGCATTGTTGCACAGCCATCCCGTTGGCTTTTTGTGAGGAAAACCCTCTGTTGATTTGAGCCCAAACATGCATTGGTCATTGACTGTGAAGGTGACCGTTGGTGATGCCGCAAGTTTCTGGACCTTTGGTTCCTTCCATGCTTTCGATGTTCTTGGCTGCTCCAGCAAAAATGTGCCACCATATGACATGACAAGTTCACAAATTTCACAGGAAAATTCAACAAAACCTTTGCCTGAATCAACCTTTTAATGAACTCTCTGTGTTTCGTTTCGTTTGTGAGGTGTTTCACGTTTAGGTTTTGCAGCTGACTCAACATGGTGCATGGTGTGGAAATGACCACTAGTCCAGGTTTCATTTCAGTAACATAGTTGCGGACACTCTGTCGTTGTCTGCTGTCCAACAAGTTGTCTCCTAGTGTCAGATCAAACGCCGCTCCACTGTCCAGTCCATGTCGGTGTGTCCTTGGTCCAAAACGTTCTGGATTGAAAACCTCAGCGACCAGTCTTGCCTTTTTCTTTGTTACCCCAAGGAGGCTTGCCAGTCGTTTCAGCTGGCGTCGGTCAGATACCCGACTTGGGTTCTGGACATCAAAAATTTCCTTAGCCATTTTTGCCATGTTTTTGTCAGGCTCAGGCGAGTTACTTTGGACAAGGGTTATAAGGTTCTGCCACATCTCTGCCGTCTCTCCCAGTGCTGTCTGAGCTTGGTTCAGCACATGCTTGACTCCCTTGTCCTTTTGGTTCTCGCCATCCTCAGTCTCGGTCATGGCTTCTTCCTTGAGCTGGCGGCTGGTGTCGGACCCTGATCGGTCCATATTCCGCCGGCTCGACATGCTCCAGATTTCTTCCACTCGAGGAACTCCTGGTAGTCGGGCTCGATCTTCTTGCGATTCTTCTCCTCCTCCATCTGCTTCGCCAGCTCGGTCTTCTCGGACTTGAGTACCTTGCCACATGTTGCGCACTTCACCATGATCTTGTACGGGTTGGTCCCTCTCTTGTCGACCTTGGTGTGAGGGCAGTGTTTCTGAAGCTCCATGATGATGTTCTCCACTGGTGTTCCTGACATTGATCTCGGTGAGTCCGGCGCATAGTCCTCTGGCTCCAGATCGTTCTGGTAGATCGGGTCGAGGTACGGCTGGATCTCGCACCAGATGAAGGTCGCACACTGCGATCCCCTCTGTCGTGGGCATCGCCAGAAGATCCTCTTGTAGTTGTGACCCTGTTTGCGGCACACATAGAGCTTGGTCGTCTCGTGATGTTCGCATTGCGGTGGAGGCCCCACCAGTCGTAGTACTTGATCTGTCACAAGATCTTGTCCGGTAACAGTGCTCGCCATGCTTGGTGCCATAGACCTCTGCGTCGTTGTAGACTGTCCGCTCGCCACGGAGATCACGTCGAAGTCGTCCATGCTCCTCGAAGATGATGCCCTTGGAGGTGTCCGGGAAGTTGCCATAGCCGATGTCCTTGATGTTGTTGGTGCCCTCGTCCTCGACGGTGGATAGTCCTGATGCCCTGCTTCCACCGGTTGCGGCGTTTGAAGCAGTCGCATCGCCAGCTCGTTGACCCGAGCCATCACAAAGAGCAATTTGAGGACCATTCGACACCAGTCCTCCCGAGTTCCCGGATTGTGGTCGTTCTGGCGGGATCTCTTCCGCTCGGACTCCATCACTGCTGTCTCGGGTTGGTGGCACGTCGTGGTGCGTGGTGATTTCCTTGGGCCTTATGAGCTCTGATGCGGTGGCTTCAGGGTTGCACTCCGTTTTCAAAACCTCAAACTCCGTTTTTGTGTTCTTAAATTGTTCATGAAGTTGGCTCAACTGATTTATTTGGGTTTTTGAGAACAAGCATAAGGGAATCCTAAGGGCACCCGATGGTCCAATATGACAAGGAACAGAAAAATCAAACTGTTTGAAGTAAATCCTTAAACCTTCAATGGGGTCTAAAAACAGCGTGGACCTACAAAACATCAAAAAGGGAAGTGAAATCAAGAACGGTGCATTTCGGCTTTCGGGGTTTTCAAAAACAGCAGGTTTCAAGACACTACCCTTTCTCCCAAGTCCTGTAGGGACAACTGCAACTTGGCTGGTGACGGATCGTCCATGAACTGATCGAAACCTGTGTTCCTGTTTGTGAAGGTGTACTGGTAGTTCCTCGGGTAAGTGCTTGGCCAACTTCTTAAGGGTTTCTATACCAATAGCCATTCTCTGACATCCCGTATCCACTGTTGCACAGGCTTCATCTGGTAAGTGGTTGACATTCTTGGTTCTAGCCCGGTGGTTAGTGGAAACCCCATGATAAACAGATTCCATTTCACCCAGAAAAACCTCCCAATCATCACAAACACGATCCTTATACCGGGACATGGGCTTCACATGTTCAAAATTGTCAGGCCACTTGGCACTACCTACAGCGTCCGTTTTGGACAGAGGCTGTTCTGCCTCGCACTCACCCCGGCCGCTCAGTCCTGCTTCTCCCGGGGACGGTTGGTCTTCTTGGTCTCGCATTGGGCTCACCTGTTCTTTTCCATCAACTTCCAACATGCCGCAAAACGTGGCCTCCTCGGACTGGAGGTAGTGCTGCTCCTTCTCGCCAGAGCCACGGTGCAAATCAGGACATTCCCGATGCCAGTGCCCCACCTTGTGGCAGTGTCCGCACTTGGTCACTTTCTTCACCTCTTCGATCGTCATTCGGTACTGCCCTGACTTGAAAGGCTGTCGACCGCCAGTGGTCGTGGTGAAGGATTTCCCTCGACCCTTCCCACTGTTGTGGTATCCTCGGCCCAACTCCTTTGCCTTCTTGGCCTTCTGGCTCTGTGCAAAGTTCCTCTTTTTGCTGAGCATTGTGCTCAAGATTTCCACGGCCTCGTGCTCTTCCAAGATGTTCCCTTCATCTTCTTGAGCTCCCGAAAGATCACCTGCAGGTTCTCCATCTTGTAGATCTCGGATCGCGGTCTCAAGAGCGAAGATCTCCTCGTCCTCCAAGTCGGTCTCGTCCTCGTTCAGCATGTAGTGTCCGCTGCCCTTCGTCACGTTGACATTCTTTTTCTCCACTCCGACCTGGTTCACCTGCAGCTTGGTTTCATGCTTTCGAACCCACTCCTTGATGTCCTTTGGCATGATACTCCCATGAGTGAAGTTCATCATAGACTTGATCTCTTGGTCGTTGAGGCAAAGTGCCTGAATCAAGAGAAAGCCGATGTACTTGTCCGGCAATTGAACCTTGTGCTCGGTCACCTTTCGGTAGGCAGACTCCCACCTATTGAAGAAGGTCCTGTAGGCCTCATTTTTCTCACGACGCACATGGTACGTCACCTTGGCCAAAGCGCTCAGCAAGTCTTCATCACGGTCGTCTCCAAAGTACTCGGAGAGGTCCATCATGTTGATCAGCTCCTCCCCATTGGTGTCGCTTTGCATCCACTTGGTGTCTTTGGCGAGAAACTTCATCGTCTCGAATGGAGTCTTTGAGAGCTTGGAGAGAAGCAGCGCCCTCTCGTGCGGGGTTTGCTACGAGTTGTAGCAAGCCACAACCTGGCTTTGATGACATAGTCCTGGAAAACCAAGCTCTCTCCATCCCATTCCGGTGCTGGTCCTGCGTTCGTCCGGCCATCATCATAGCCATCAGATCCAGCACTGCTAGTGCGACGTCTTCGTCGTTCTGTACCGCGTTGTCGACCGCGGTTGCGCATCCACGCTCTGAACTCTTCGCTGTCAAAGCCGTCGTCCTGGTCGGCCTCATCATCATCGTCAGCCGGTGAAGATCTATCAACTCTGAGCGATCCCACCTCGGCTGTTCTCACTGGTGTTGTCGGCCTGCCCTGGCCGTTGTCACTTCTTGATCGTCCACCCAGTGCATCGTCGCTGCCTTGCGATGATGGTGGCACTGGTTGGTCCATGGCAAAAACCTATCTCGGATGCCCGGATGTTTCCCGGGCTCCGCTACCACTGAAAAGCAAAGTGGCAGGCAATCAGCCCTTTTCCAGAGCGCCTGCCCGTGTGTCTCCCCCACACGATAGGGCCTAAGCCCATGTCTCCGCTGGCGAGGACGCGCTTTGTTCAATGATGCGTTTTGCATCTCTGAAATTCACATATACATATATATATATAGATCTTGGGTTGATCCTCCAAGCGGTTCCCGACTGTGCCAACACTACGCCAAAATCGCCTCCAGCAACTTGACAAGGGCCCGGAGGGAAGCATGACCGGACACCAGCACTGTCTTTCCCGACATGACCTTGGGCATCGAGGGATCCAATTGATCCAATGTCTCCAAACCTCCTGGGTCCCGCACACAGGGCGCAATGTTGTCGCTCCAGAACCTGAGGCCGTAGTTGATTGGATCGATGTTCATCAATATCTCTATATAGCAACCTCGAAAAGATAGAAAAGTTGTTTTTCACTATTTTAGTAGGATTTGACTTTTCTATCTTTTTTGGGGTTACTATACATATTATACATATGAATATATGTATAGAGAGAGAGAGAGAGAATATAATATATATATATATATACATAGATATGCAATTATATATACACATAATCACACATACTGTTTCTACAACCCATTCACATCCCACAGGAGAGATCATTGGGATGATGGCCTGCATATGAGTCACCATATCGTCCCCCAAATTGTGGTGTTTTGCAAGGAACTTTCTGGGTCAACAAAGAAACCAGATGAAATAAGTCAAAAAAATGACTTTCGTTCAACTTCTGAACCACATCCTTTCGCTTCCAAAGATTCCTATTGGAGAAGCCCTCCACATCGCTATCAATATATATATATATACATGATATATCTATCTATCTACAAAATTCTATAAATATGCACTACGTACTATCTTACATGACTCGTGTTATATCATATTATATGACTTGATTAGTTATGATTAGTTAATGTGTTTACAATTGTTTGTGATGATAATATGTCCATTGATAGCACATTCAGTTGCCCTAGCACATGTTCAATCTTGCCTTGCAGTTCATGATGCGAACCCAGGAATGGCAGCAGAAGGGCCCCCGGCGGCGTCATCCTTTCCACCTGTCAATTCATATCAGCTGCTGAGTATGAACACTTGGAAATGGTCGCGCTGAAGGATGCACCTGTCCCCCCACAAAGGACTTCAAGATCAAGCAAGTTTCCCAAGATTTCAGAAGTCTCAGAACATGTGAAAAAGTCTGACAACATTAACAACTGGTTCAACTAATCATGTGTTGATCATTCCAACTCAGGAGCTGGTGGCACTTTGGGCCGTGTTCCAGCTGTCAACTAGATCAACTAGGCCCACGCACCACGTTCGCCAATGACTCGCTTCCAGGCAAACTGCTCTTGTGCACCTCATCTGTTGGCAAATGCCCAAACATAGCTCGTTAAAAAATGGAATGAGGTACCATTGTTTCTGGTCCGGACGGTCATCATCACTATCACTATACTATCTGATTTATCCGATTTTGGGGGTCCATAATTTTGTCATGCCCTGCATCTTGTGAAGTTGCTGGTCTCCGCTTCCGCAGCTGAGGCGGATCAACATAGCCCGTAGAGCTCCGAAGCGTGTCAAAGACTTGAAGTTTTTTTGAAATGTCACTGCACTTTAACTTTTCCCTGTGATCTCCATCTGCCCCCAGTCTCCACGTCCGCCCTGTCAACCAGCATTTGGGTGTCGGAACATTCCGATAATGCGTGTCATTTGCTGGGTGCCTCCCAGACATGATGATGTTCCGATGGATGCAAAAAAAATGGCAGGCCGGGACCTATCTCGTTAACTCAACCAGTACAGTGACTACAGAGGGGAGAACGCCATGAAACTGAAGCGAAGAAAGATGGAGCAAATTGCAATGACTGAGTCACTGAGGATGTTCCGCTGCGCCTGGAATCCGTCATTGATAAAGCTGTCGGTGCCGTCGTTGGAGCGGAAACCTTGAGATGGGATGGCCATGACATGACATGGCCATGGATGGGTGTCTGAAAATGGGGTTGTTGTGCCCAAATAGCAATTTGCATCCGGAAAATGATGACAATCCCACATCTGAATCAAGCCTTCAACACTGAAACAATCCTGTTGATAGCTCCGTCAGGTGAATCTTCATCTGTTCTGAGATCCCCAACGCCTTCTTTACCCTGCAAATCTCCAAAGTGACGTTCATTCAGCCTGAACGAATCAGGACATGATGGACATGATGGCCCTGGTGTCTAAATCGCTTGGATGGCGGCTGAATAGGAAATTGACTCGGTGGCGCAGAATGCAGCACCCAAACCTTTGTGCTAATCTCTGTAGCGTTGGCAACGGCAAATAATTTGTGGTGAACCCAAGAAAGACCATTGAAATGGTCTGGGGTCAGGGCACACATGGACAAACCCACATGCTCTTTCCAAAGGAAGTCTTCTGCGCATAGACAAGCCTCTGCTCTGAGTGTTGTTGCCTCTTCAACCACTCAAGCGTCTTGAGTTCAAAGAACATGAGCTTTGCAAACTGCCGAAGCAATTTGCTAAATCCATGTCAATCACTACTGTAATTCTTACCTACTTCTAGAACGAAGAGGTGACGAAATCCACTTGGCCACTGGGATATCACTCTCGAATAATTCCAGTGGCACCTGTCCGTGTAGCCCTAAGATAGATCACCGATATAAAGTTATTAAACGACTATAAATTATGTACATGTGTGTGTGTATTCATATTTATGATTGTATATGTATATACATATATATATTTATATTACTATACTATATTATAGTATACTATATTATATCATATTATATTATATTATGTTATATTATATTATAGTATAATTGCATTATATCATATTAAATGATATTATATCATATTATATTATACCATATGATATTATATCATATATTATAATATAGTGTATTATATTATATTATATTATATTAAATCAAACTATATTATAATATTATGTTATATTGTTTTAAATTATAATATTATATTATATTATATTGTATTATATTTTATATTAGAGTAGACTGTATTACAGTATATTATATACATTGTATTATATTATATTATATTATAATATATTATATTATATTATATTATTTTTGTGTTATATCATATTATATTATTGTATTATATTATATTAAATCATATTATATCATATTATATTGTATTATATTATATCAAATCATATTATATCAATATTATTTTATATCTCATATTATATCATATTATATCATATCATATCATATTATATTGTATTATATTATATCAAATCATATTATATATATATTATATCCTATTATATTATATTGTATTATATCATATCACACCATATCATATCATATCATATTATATTAGATTGTATTATATTATATCATATCATATCATATCATATTATATTAGATTGTATTATATTATATCATATCATATTATATTATATTATATTATATTAATTTATTATATCATACATATACAAACCACATTAAATCGATTTCAAAAATGTTGAGATTCTGAAGTCATGGTGTTTTTTTTCCGTTACATCCTCGTTTTTGATATCCGAGATCTCCATGGAAACGCACCGCGACGCGCCTCCAAGAGTTGATCACCGGCATCGCAAAGTTCTCCAGTTCCATCAGGGCCATCCAGGCAGACTTCACGGAGCGCCCTGGCGAAGTTCGTGAAAATTTCCACCTCGATATATATATATATAATGTTTTATGATGTTTTATAATGTTTTATAATGTTTTATAATGTTTTATAATGGTTTATAATGTTTTATAATGTTTTATAATGTTTTATAATGTTTTATAATGTTTTATAATGTTTTATAATGTGTTACAATGTTTTATAATGTTTTATAATGTTTTATAATGTTTTTATAATGTTTTATAATGTTTTATAATGTTTTATACTGTTTTATAATGGTTTATAATGTTTTATAATGTTTTATAATTGTTTTATAATGTTTTATAATGTTTTATAATGTTTTATAATGTTTTATAATGTTTTATAATGTTTATAATGTTTTATATAATATAGATCTACAGTATATTATATAAAACATTATAAAACTGCGGAGGGAAAAAAAACTGATCCGAAACAGATTCCGAAACGCCAGTTTTGGAAGATTCGGGATTCACAAAAGGTGTATGTACGTAATTGTACGTAGATTTGCTTGATATTGAGTGTGGTTTGGAATTTCGACAGAAATCCAAGTCGTGTGGGAAAGGCTGCATGCGGTGGTGGATCTCTTTCCGCAACCCAGTGGTCGACTGCCTAATTTCATGGAATTGGTTTGGAATTGGTTTGGATCAAAATGGGGCACAACAAAAAAACCATGGATGATTGATGATTTCCAACCAATTTTAGCTTGGGAGGTGGTCAATCTTGACCTGCCCGGCAAATTTCACAAGAGAATCATCGAACATCCTGAGATTCCAATGAAATTCCTCTCACGGCACGACTGTCACTGGGCTGTCCAACCAAGCAATGACCTCACGTCGCTGGAGCCATGGGAATAAAAATCACCAAAGGATCGACTGGAACTTCACAAGAAATGACTTCAGAATATCAGAATATCAGGAGCAAAACGCTATACCAAAACGCATCCAAACGCTGAGTTTCTGAAACAAGAACATTTTGGCAGTGCTGATATTTCAAACGCACATCACCAGAGGGCAATCCTGCGGCACCGAACCCCCGGGCCCGTGGGTGGGGCCCTGTAAAGGTCCCAGACGTAAACACCACGTCGAATTTGGCGAAGCCTTTCTCCTTCAGAAGTTTCCCACAGGCGACGGCCTCGCCCAGCTGAAAATTATTTCACCAAAGAACTGCAGAAACAAACTGATTTGGAACAGGATGGAACAGGTTTTGAAGCTTAGGAATCCGAAGGGATTCCCAAATTCAGTGAAAGTTCCTGAAATGTCTGAGGGGTTTCTGAATTTGGATTTCACATTCACAAAACCAGCAACGCAGCGACTGCCCACGTCGCGACTTCATGCGGCACCTCTGCTTGACCTTCAGGAGAAAGGTCCACATCCTGCCACCCCACCAAGCCCTTGGAAGCCATCGCGCCATGACGTAGCAAGACCTCGCCGCGATGGCAGCTGGCCGCAGCTGGAGACATGCTGTGCATAGAAATGGGTACCATGTACCAACACAGTTGCACACATCATGCATCATGCATGCTCATTCACAGGATTTCACAGGATTTCACAGGTAAATGTATTCAGTGATGAGATGTGATGAGTCAGGATTAAACGTTTGTGCAAAAGTCCTGAAGTCATTAGATAAACGGAACATCTGTCCAGCATGTGTGACCGATCTTTTATCGATTTCTCAAGGTTGTGGTGATACTGGATTTGACAATATCAAAATATTGCATGGCTATGGGTTGAAAGGCCTGGGTATCCTGGGTCCAGTAGATGTAAAGCTATCATCATCAATCCAGCCATCGCTTCGCATAATTATTTGATGTTCAATCAGCCACAAAGAGCACCTTCAGCAAACGCATTCGTGACCCGCATCGCAGGTCGCAAAAGTGTTGAAACATATGCTGAAAGTCAACAGCCACTCTGTCCTACAAATCTGACATTGTTGGAAACAATATTGCACTATCCTGTCACAGTTAAAAAGATGTTCGACATACCAAACACTGATATGTGCTCCTTTGTCAGTCAAGAATGGCCAAAAACGAAAGTAACAAACACATTTCTGGAAATGAGACTGAAAAAAGAGGAAAAAGGAAAACCGTGACACGCGAGCGACAACTAATTGCATTCATAGTCTTCGATGGATTTTGCAGCAGCCAAACGTGTTAATGCGGACAAATCTGGACGGAGGATACAGGAACTCAAAAGCTGAAACTTGACAGTTTGGTCAAAGGACAGGAATATGAGTGGAACATGAGGGAAATTGCTTGACGTGAGCGGTCAAGAACCTGAAACTACGGCAACAATCATAAACTTCAGGTCAGATCAAGGCATATCAATCCCCTTTTGTTCAACTCACCCAAAACCGGGCACCATTCCTGGCCAAGGAGCCAGTTTTCCTGCTGACCTCAGAGGTTAAAGGAATGCTACAATAAGTTCACAGCGGTGGATCACTGAGGTGTCGCAAAGTCTCCCAAAGAAATGAAGAAATACCAGATAATTGGTTGTGAGGGAACGGTTCTTGGGAATATTTTTTATTTTCACCAAAAGAAAGTTGTTGGTTAACCGTCCAAAAAAGTTGTGAATCCGCTCACCTTCTTCCCAGGGATGGAAAATGAGAAACAAAAATCACCAACATTATCCAACATCCATAGTCATATCATTTATCACCCTCGTTTTCCCATATGTTTTCCTAACGTTCCCCCGCTCCAAAAACGCCCAATTCCCCCAGGTGCTCCGGCATGTTCTTCCGCCTCCCAGTCGACGCAGGTGGGCGACTTGGGCAAAAAGCGAGCTGCAGATTCCCAGATGTTCAGCACTCCAGGCCAACCACCCAAGGTACATGGGTTGGAATGGTGATCATATCCCCTTGTTTGAATCTCCTCTGGAAAAAAAAGAGAAGAATTAGCATGATGTTGCCTGTGAATATGTGGTTTGCACATGGTCGCCTCATGTTGCACGCATATCTTTGCCTGCCAGGACCGAACTCCTAAAAACTTGCCATAAAAAGTATGGAACTGGTTGGATCAAGGCAGCCATGGCTAATTTGCTGTTTCTTTTTCTGAATGTCGCTGAGCAAAGGATACGCCGAGGTGCAAAGGCTGAAAAGAAAGTAGGCTGCGCAGGGCATTTTATAAGCAAATACCTGAAAAAAAAACTCTCAGACCAGAACGCGACCGGATTTTTTTCGTCTCCGCTCAGTCACGGCTACGGCTCCGCTCACGGTGTTTCTCCTGTCACAGGGACACCGTCCAGGTATGGGATGGATTGAAGCTGACAGGTCAATACGTATGAATATGTAGGTGTATGTGTGTGTATAATATTAATATATAAATATATAAATATGTAAATATATAAATATATAAAAATATAAAAATATAAATATATAAATATATAAATATATATATATAAATATATAAATATATAAATATATAAATATATAAATATATACATATATAAATATATAAATATATAAATATATAAATATATAAATATATGAATATATAAATATATAAATATATAAATATATAAATATATAAATATATAAATATATAAATATAGAAATATTTAAATATAGAAATATACAAATATATAAATATATAAATATATAAATATATAAATATGTTGAATGAGCTCCCAGTGCCTTCATTTTGGTTCTCAGGGCACTATTTGTCAGAGTTATCCGCGACCTTCCGCGGGTCGCAGCCGGCTGCATTGATTGGATCTTTGATCCCCCAGGGTGGGGGAGGACTAGGGCCAGTTCAGCTGATACAGCTCGCAGCATTAAACATGCTCACTCATGTTGAATGAGCTCCCAGTGCCTTCATTTTGGTTCTCAGGGCACTATTTGTCAGAGTTATCCGCGACCTTCCGCGGGTCGCAGCCGGCTGCATTGATTGGATCTTTGATCCACCTTCGACCAGGGCCTACAGTGTACTAAGAGCTTAGCTAAGCTTGTGCACAACTGTGCGCTGCTGGGCCACAACTTGCAAGTAAGTTGGCATGAGGTCCCGTAAGTCACAGATCCTCTGCCGGATTTCTGGCAGCAAGGCTGGAAGGATTGAAACTGCAGTGGTCTCCTGGAGGTAAAAAGACAACGTCTGCTGGTGTTGCAATCTCATACGCCAAAGCAAATCAGAAATACTCATACCTTTCTTATGGGCCGCCACGGCCCCACCGCCTCGTAGTGAACCTGGAGTCAGTCTATGCACTTTTGTGACACCAATGTGCTGCAAAATTTTGTCCCACCGATATCTGAAAGCTCCAGCGGTGCTGCCGTACAAAAAATCGTCGGCAGCTAAAGGGCTCCAAATGGCAGAAACAAAATGAACAACAAGAGGGTCCACAATAGTGGCGTATTGAGATCTAGCACCTCTTCTCCGGGTCTTTGGTTCGTGAATTTTCACATAGATGACGAGGCTGTCATCCAAAATATCACTTGGCAGCAAAACGTCTCTTCTCCTGGCTTTGATGAACTCCCCTACCCTACAGATAGAAAAGAAACACCCCAGAAGAACAGCAGCCCACCTGTTCCATTGCCATGACACGGCCACTGTGGCCATAGCTCTGACTAAAGGCTCCGGCATGGGAGGACGATGTTGGATAGGCTCCAGCATCTCCCACTTTCTCACTGTGTCCCAGGCAGCAAACATGTAAAGACGCAACTGTGGATGCTCTCTCTGAACATGTGCAAGCAACTGTCTGTAGTAAAACAGGGGGCAGCCAGTCTCAAAAGCAAAGTACCCAAAAGCCACCAGCAAGGAAACTGCTAAGCTCGGCACGCGGAGCCAACATAAAAAGTCGGCGTTGGGACACTCCATCTCAAACCAGTCCAAAAACCGCTGCATGACTCGCGCTCTGATAGCTATAGTTGCAGGTTCTAGAAGCTCCACATCTCCCAAATGGATGGGGGGCCTTTGCCCCGGGGCGCGACGAGGCCCCGGGTGAGATGCCTCCCCAATCCGGCACGAAGACTGCCGGGCGCAAAGATTCACGTCCAGCTTTCGGCGTTCGCCCAAGAAACCTGCGTCTCTTGCTATCGCTCCAGCCAACATGTTGCACAATCCCCTTGGGTAGGGTTCAGCCAGTTTTGTCATGTTCATCTTTCTCTGTTTGCACCTCCCGCGCAGAACCAAATGGTGGCCCTTGCAAATACAGAACAGCTTCTGCCCGCCTAAGTGACTGTTGGTCCGAAACCTAGTTCTCTTTCGCCACTTCGTGCCGAAACGGCAAAAGTCCGTCCTGAAATCATCGACGCCAGGACGTCTCAAAACGCTGCTCCAGCTCAAGTCAGGACGTCTTTGCCTCCACATCCAAGACCCATCAGGGTTCTCCACAAAAAAGATCACCCCTGCATCCAGGCACGCAAGAGTGATCTGCAAAACAAAAGCCAAAAAGTTGTTGCCCAGTTCATTCTTCAGCTGTTGCTTTTCTGAGCACCAATCGACCCCTTCGGGATGCTCGATGGTGCGCACTGGCGGTGTTATGGCTGTGCTGAATGACGCACAGACAGGTCCAGCTCCCATGGCGGCAAAGAGTCCTAGCCTAACTAGCCTTACTAAGTTGTGTTGGAGGGGGGTTTTACTAAGATCTTCCGAAACAGAGTGCTCAATGTCGAAAGTGAGGACCCAAGTTTTCGCGGTCCGCACCATCGCTTTCGAAAAACCTCTGCTTCCAGAAAAAAGGTCTAACACCCCTGGGCCGGCACTGATTGCCTCCTCCAAACTGGCGTAGCCTTCTGACCACAAAAACTGAGAGCTGTCAAACTGGCTAAGCTCAAGAAGCGCGCGTTTCTTCTGCGCCTCCGACTTCCATTGGGACTTCTGGCTTGCCTCCTCAACTCTGGCATTGACGCTATCAGCGCCACTTCCCTTTTCTTCTGATTTGGAAACTGCATGCATCAAGTGGGTGCCCAGGCGCTCTCCGGACCGTGTCGCAGTCTGCTGACGCCCGGTCACGAACTTGCTGCCGGTCTCCTCCACCGGCGACTGTCGCTCAGCGCCCTGGGCCGTATGGTTGTGGGCCTGGGCCAGCCCGATCGCGAGCTCGCCGCCGGTCTCCTCCACCGGCGACTGCCGCTCAGCGCTCAGAGCTTCAACGTCACAAGGCCCGGCTCTCCACAGTCCATCCCCAGCCTCTTCGACTGGTGGTTCTAACCGTTCAACTGCTGCAGATCCTTTCTTCTTGACGCCAGCTCGGCGTCTGGCGCGCTTCAAAGCTCCAGAGCTCGACAAGTCTACCTCCAACCTAGGCTTCAACTTCTCCTCTGGCGGCAGCCCAGTCATCTGGCTGAGGTGGCTGCCCAAGCGCAACATCTCCTTGTCAAATTCTCCACAGTCGCCCTTCTGCAGATCTGTCAGCCAGCGAGGCTCATCCAGGCTGGGTTTTCGCAGATCCGCTTCCCTTGTAGGGTCGTCAGCAGGGTTGAAAGCCGACCTCAGAAAACCATAAAAAGGACGGGTGTTGAAGCGCACATGGTCGGGTATCGACCTGCGCATCTCCTCGTTCAAAGAGCGGGAGGAAGACCTCCCTTTGACGAGTGCTGCCAGGCTGACCTGAGAGTCTTGCAGGTGCACATAATAGGACCCCGGCTGCTCCTTGCCTACTTCCTTCTCAGCGGCCAAAGCGGCCCGCATCTCTCCTATGTTGATGTGCCTCCTACTTCTCACTTGCTTTACCCTGCCAAAACGCTCGAAAGCTTTTGCCTGCGCAATGGTCTGCCACGCAGGATGCATCTGGTATTCCTCCTCAATCTCTCCCCTCTCAAACTCAAAACCCTTCTCTCTCATATAAGACTCAAGAGGAGAGAGCAGCTTGTTCCACATCCCTTTCTGCAAACCATACTTCTGCAGCTCTCGTGTGGCTGCACTGCCAACGCGCGTTCTGACTGCGGCTTCTGCACTGTTCGAGGCATCACTGCAAACAAGGTAAGGAGAAGGTGCAAGGCGCATGTCTATGCAAGAGAGAGGAAGAAGGGCCAAAACGCACAGAAGCTCATCTCTCAAGTCGGCGCTGATCAGCACCACATCCTCCTCTCTGCGTCCCCGTTGGGAACCATAAATTTCTTGCAGGATGGACATAAACCTCCTACGCAGCTGAAAAACGGCAACCAGGGACCCTGCAATGACCTCCATCAAACCGACGCTCACTTTTCCAAGCTCCAAGACGCGCAGGATGATGAAGGCCAGAGGAATGGCTCGTTTGAGGTTGGGTCTCAGCAACCCCGCATCTCCGTCAAACTGAGCACCCCAAAAAGTCCCCAGTGCTTGATTGTAAACAGCTTTGCCTTCATGGCGAGGCAACTTCACCTGCTCGTACTGCTCTCTGACCTTTTTGATGATGGCCTCACAAGTTGAGCTATACCCCAAAACATCTCTGGGCACAGCTTCAACCAAAACCAAATCATCTATCATCAAGCCCGCTAGCCACCTCTGTCTTGGCGGCCGGGCTGCCAGGCAGATGAAATCCGCCAGGCGCAAAGCTCCTGTTCTGAGCAAAACGCCCAAATGAGCCACCTGCCCAAAACTGACTGCTCTATTGTCCCCCATCGCCATTGTGCGCAAACAGGGAACCAGAAACTCCTCATGCTGCAAACCAGGATGGAAACACTTCAGGTGCTCCACAAGTCGAGGCTTCACCTTCAGCTTTAAGGCGTTCCGAAGAACCCGGCTGGGACTGATGGAAAAAGCATGGTAAAACTCTCTCAAGTCCTCCGCAAACAACCTGGCATCTTCATTTGGCTCCAAGAAAAAATGCTGAAACTGCACTAAGGACCCTAGAGAGCGGATCCACACGTCAGTGTTGTCCTCCAAACAATTCGGAGGTCTGGCGTCCAGCACCATCCTGTCTCGCACTTCATCTTTTGGCACCGTGAACAGCCCATTCTCATAGCCCTGCCTGATGCTGCTGCTAGGCACCAGGGCGAGCCGTTCCACGCTGTCCAGCTTCTCAAGCAGCGCCAACTTGTCTCTGCGGGCAATCCTGACTTTCACCCGCGGAGGTGGCCGTTGGTTTAGGTCAGGGGCAGCCGCGTGCGAGAGAGGGTCCAAAAAGACGGCCCTGTTCTCTTCATCCATGAACTCCTCCGCCTCAAAACTTGGCACGCCCCAGAAATGCAGGCGCGCGGGCTCCACTGCTTTTGCAAGATGGCCAGGCTTGAGGGCCATCTGACCGACCACTTCGCCCGGGTCTCCCCTATGACCCCAGTCTGTGTGCAGCACCTTCTTTCGTCGGTGCTTGTAGCGCTGCAGTCTCTCTGCAACGCTCTGCGCCTCCTCTTCTAACTTCTCCAAAACTGCCTCCACGTTCTCGACCTTTGCAGCAGCTCGGCCCATGGCTTCGCTCGTCACATCTTCTTCCAAGTTCCAAGCATCAACATGGTGTCGAAGGCTGCGGACAAAAGCCCACTGCGTAGAGTTCAAAGGGGTCCCCAAAGGTGGCATTGCTCTCCTCCAATGCACTGCCGGGGAACCCAAAAAGTTGAGCACCAGGACCAAAAAGTTTAGTCCCAGTTTGCGCGCGGCGTCGCGCTGAGTCCGGTTTGCACCCCTCCGGTGCATTTCCGGGAAAGGAGCCGGCAGCGGCCACATACTCCCTTCGGTCGCTCGCTTCTGAGCGCTAGTTGCCCTGACGTAGAACCATATCATAGAAAGCTTTGATCGCCCCTTGGAGAGGCAAGAAAAAAGTGAATTCCAAAGGCTGTACCCCTTGCAAGTGGTAGCTCCTGCACCAGGAGCGGCAGGAGCAGGCTTCGCTGCTCCTCCCTCGTGGCTTCCTAGTTTGCTGCTTGCTCCGCCTCTCCCGGCGGCTTCTTGTCTTTGTCCTTGCCTTTCTTGCCCTTGCCTTTGTCTTTGCCGTCTCTGCTGGAATCCGCCCCTTTGCCCGTCCCCTCTCTGGAAGGGCGGTTGGTGGTGCTTGAGAGGCGCTTTCTGCTCTCTATGTAGGAATCGCGGGACTTCACCCGCCACATCAGCACCTCCTGCCACCTCTCGTCGAGCAGACGGGAGCTTGGCTGGTCCCATTGGTCGACTTGCCGCCGCTGCTGAAAACTGCTCATCGGCGGGGCTTCCTCCAACAGCACTTCCTGAGACAAAAGCCAACTGCCTCCGTCTATGGAGGTCTGGTCTGCTGCTATGACTCCTAGTGCCGCTCGGGCTCTCGCCTCCTTGACTGCCCCGCTCCGCAGGGCATCCCAGATCCCGCAGAGAATCCAGGTGTATCTGATCGTGGCTGCATAGTTTCCCAGCCTCGACCTGTGCTCCAACCAAGCTCGTGCCGAGGTGCTCTGGACTGAGGCGCCCGGTGCACTGCGCATCACATTGAAGTCTTTTTCCAACAGACTTTCGACCGTCTCGTAGATGAAAGCGGGATCGCTCTGGAGGCAGGCTTTGAGCCTTTTGTAGACTGCTGCTTTGCCCTTGCCAGTGCTCGAGGTCGAACTCTCGCCTTCGGGCTCGACACCATCCAGCAAAGCTTCCAAATCCCTTGCTTTCTTCTCTCTGTCCTTTGCCAAAGTGCCCACGATCTTTGTGAGCTGCTTGACCGCTTGCTCGATGGGAGCTCCTGCAGCTTCCTCCTCCGTGGCGTCTTCCACCTCTTCGAACGCAGGCTCGGCTTCGCTTTCGCTCAGCGGATCTGCGGCGACGAGCTTGGTGGCGGCTTGCTTCGGCCGCGGAACGTCCGTCATCTTGTTGCCCTTGGCAAGAAGGCCGCTGAGCCTGCGAAGCTGATCCTCTGGAATGCCGGCTTCTCGCGCCGACGTCACCACTGCAGGGTCGAGGCCCGGCAAGGGCGGGGCTCTCAAGGCACTCTTCCTGGTCTCGACCTCTACCTTCTTTGGTGGAGGCCGGCTGTTCTGCACCAGCTCGGCTAAACTCGCCTGCACTGCTTTCATACCTCTCTCCATCTCTCGCATCCTCACTTCCATATGATCTCCGGAGACTTCCTCTGCCTCCGGAGGCCCTTGTTCTTCTGCCGAGTGGAAAGCAAAATGCTCCTCCGACACCTCCACCAAACTGGGGCCGAACGGGATCAGCGTCCTGCCCATAACCTCGTCCTCTTTGTAAATGTCTGCTACCACATCCACGCCCCGGCCAGGGCGCACAGCCGAGACAAGGCTGGGATTCAAAAGCCCTATCCACAGCTTCATAACCTCCTCCGTGGCTTCCTCCGGCGAATCTTCGTACGCCGTCAGGACTTCCACCAAAATTGGCCGGCTCAAAGCCCGCTCTGGCAACATGCGTCTGACCACCAATCTGTTCCATACCGAATAGGGAACAGCGATCAGTAGCTTCTCTGAGTGAACGGCAATGGGGACCAAATTGACTGCGTGCAGCTCTTCGGCTAACACGTAGGTAAAATGAGCCACACTGTAGTGCGTAGTTGACAACCCTGACTCTTGCACCAAAAGAGCCTGGGCCACTTCAGGCGCGAGGCCTGCAAGCTCAGGCATTGCGAAGGGCCGCAGGCAGAGGGAAGTCCCCCGCAATCAGCGCCGCTCTAGCTTCCCACTTCGTAGGGAGTCCAACAAAAACTGAATCTCCTGCCTCACTGCCTCTCTTGCAAATCGCCTTCACCTCCTGAAAAGAAGTCAAAAACTTTGGTTCTGTCAAGGCCTTTCCTTCAAAATCCGCCACCACCAAATAGCACCTGTTTTGCAACTTCAAGCGATCACGCCCGGAGCTGCCCCTGGGCTGGCCCGTGACCGCCCGACGCAAAAACTTCCCAATCTCCTTAGCCAAAGCCAGCCGCGACTCAGCGTCCGCAGCTGCAACTTCAAAGGCACAAGTGGGGGTCTCAGCCTCCTGGGGGGTCTCAGCCTCTGTAATCACCTGAAAACTGTGGGGGCTAGAGCTGCCTCCTCTCACCCGCTCGAGCTCCGCTACTCGAGCTTGCAATCCAGCCACCTCTGATCTAAGCAAAGCCACTTCCAGCTTCAGCGACTTCTCTTCACTCATTCAAGAACTCGGGACAACGGTCGCCGAGCTGGTGGCAAAGGCGCCAGATATGAGCGGGCCCACCTGACCCAGGTAATCCTCAAAATGATCAGTAGGTCCAAGAGAGGGCCTAGCAAAATCCCAATGAAGATGCCAATCGCCACGGATGGCCAGTCCAAGCTCCACGAGACTGGTGGGAGCAGTGAGCACAACTCTGTTCCGGAATTATAGGGGCCCCAAAGTTTATTGTTATCCCCAAAATTTATATCCCTCAACACAGACAACAGCAAGGTCGAAAGTCCTCCGGCACCTGCAGCTGTGACTACGGGGCGCATGAGCCAGTTCAGCTGATACAGCTCGCAGCATTAAACATGCTCACTCATATAAATATATAAATATATAAATATATAAATATATAAATATATAAATATATAAATATAAATATATATATATATAAATATATAAATATTTAAATATATATACATATATATATAAATATATATATGTATGTATCTATGATGCATTATGATTACATTTGCATATGTATGCGTATGTGGCCGGATTTAGGATTGCCAAGCTCTGAACTGTCCCAAAGCCTTTTTCCTGACCTCATGTGAGTGAAAACATTTCACTGGGCCTCTGACCTGGAACATGCGTAAAATGTGTCAAACCATTACCATTTTTGCAGGTGAAATCAACTTGTCCTATCCCAGCATCGAAGTCAAGTCAGATCATCCTCCGTGTTGGGAAATATGTCCAGATATGGCCAGTGACCAGCTGTGAAGGCACAAATCAAGGGTGAAACAATCCTTTTCTACAGCTGCTGTGGGGCTATGTCTCCATTTTTGGCCAATGACCCATATTTTTTACCAGTCTTTCAGTGCTCGCGCCTTGTGTTTTTTCTCTTTGTCTTTTTTGGACTTTTCCTCCCAATATGTCAGGGCAGTTGCACATGGTCTTCCACTGCCACAAAATCCTAAAGACTCCCGGATTCCAAATTCGAAACAGCATATATTACAGTACTCAATAAGGAACTACAGTCAATGGTTAGCCCGAAGTTTTACTACTGATATAGAGCCCTGAGGACTTTCGAGGGACGCCGGCAGCTTGAATCTGGGAATCTAGGAGGTACTAGGATGCACTAAGATGTACCAAGCCTTACTAAAAAACCATTCGTTGCAAGGACAGGATGCTGCCCCGCCCCACACCTTAGACCATGCCGCCACGACACGCTTCAACATGAACAGAGAACGGGCAGTGTGGTCCCCGTGCTTTCATGGTCTTTCATTGTGCTTCAAGCGTCAGTGGACAGGCTGACCACATCAACGCCTTGTCTTTCTTCTTTTCTTCCTTTTCTTCCTTTTCTTCCTCAGATTTGGTCTCTGGGATATCAATGAGCAATGGTGTCCGCAAAGACAGGACATCTTAACTTCAGAACCCTTGCCAGGACATATCACATGTTAGAACACATTAAAATACATTAGAATACATTGGATCAAACTGTATGGAAATGTCGAAAGTCAAACATGAGAAGCGCTTCAGATTGCCTTTTCTTCTTTTTCTTTCTCTTCCTTGTCTTTCTTCTTTTTCTCTTTCTTTTCCTTTTTCTCTTTGTCCTTCTCCTTATCCTCCCAGAAACTCGGAAGCTGACCCAGCTGTGCTGCACATGCCCCAATCTGCTCAACATAACAGCTCTCAAGCATCCAGCACTAGGGGAGTTACACATGTATGATTACCGAGATATCCGCCTAGCCCGGCTGATGCAAGGGGGAGCGCGCAAGGGAAGAAGAGCCACCACTACTACTACTACTACTCCTACTACTACTCCTACTACTACTCCTACTCCTACTCCTACTCCTACTCCTACTCCTACTCCTACTCCTACTCCTACTACTCCTACTCCTACTCCTACTACTCCTACTCCTACTCCTACTCCTACTCCTACTCCTCCTACTCCTACTCCTACTCCTCCTACTCCTACTCCTACTCCTACTCCTACTCCTACTCCTACTCCTACTCCTACTCCTACTCCTACTCCTACTCCTACTCCTCCTACTCCTACTCCTACTCCTACTCCTACTCCTACTACTACTACTACTACTACTACTACTACTACGACTACGACTACTACTACTACGACGACGACTACTACTACGACGACGACGACTACTACTACTACTACTACGACTACGACTACGACTACTACTACTACTACGATGACGACGACTACTACTATACTACTACTACTACTACTACTACTACTACTACTACTACTACTACTACTACTACAAAGGCGCCGTCCGGCCTTCACTCTCATGGTGTTTGGGTGTTTGGGACTGGCGGGCCCACAGGTTTGGAGGCCCGGCTGCTGCATTCGGAGCTATAGTTTCTTACAGCTTCCGAAAGCAGTGTTAGGGACCGGCAGTCGCGGACGGACCCAAGGCCTGGTCCGTCCTTCAGTATGATGTTTTGCTGTTGCGCGGCTAGGGTTTTGGAGCCTTGAAGGCTGCAATTTGGATCTAGTTTTTTGTCCGTTCTGAAAGCAACGTTCGGCAGAGGCAGCCGCGGGCCGAAAGCCTGTTCCGTTCAGTGGCATGGTGTTGCGCTGTGGCGAGGCTAAGGTTTTTAAAGCTTTGAAGGCTGCAATTTGGAGCTAGCTTCTTGTCCGTTCAGAGCAACATTCGGCAGAGGCAGCCGCGGACCGAAAGTCTGGTCCGTCCTTCAGTGGCATGGTGTTGCGCTGAGGCGAGGCTAGGGTTTTGGAGCTTTGAAGGGCTGCAATTTGGAGCTAGTTTCTTGTCTGTTCGGAAAGTCCGTCGAATGACCCCGTCCGGCCTTCACTGTCATGGTGTTTGGGACTGGCGGGCCCACGGTTTTGGAGCTACTTTCTTGCAGCTTCAGAAAACAACGTTAGGCACCGTCAGCTGTCTGTCGAATGACCCCGTGCGGCCTTCACTTTCATGGTGTTGCTAAGCACTGCCAACCGTCGGTCGAATGACCCCGTCCGGCCTTCGCTCTCAGGGGTCGGCGGCAGAGGGCGCAGCCCTTTGATATGATTACATACCTAATCCTATCTCTTTGTCTGGCAAACTGTCAACTTTCTGTCCTTCTCCTTATGTTTGTCCTTCTCCTTCTCATCCGCTTTTGCCTGCAAGGACAACGCCCTGCATACAAGGTTGGTGCGGATCTGTGTTTGATCCTTCAACAAAAAAGGTGCTGCAGAAACACGCGCTGGATCGTGCAACCTCATGCAGCATGAGAAAGGTTAATCATTGACTCGTACTTTGTTTCTCGGGCGAAAGTTTCTTCATCTCTTGAACTATTCGCTGTTCACAAAAGGTTTTCATCTATGAAAAAATGCAAGCAACTGATGGCAACTGTATGCAACCGCTTGTCTTTTGCTGCCACCATCTGCCACCCATCACGTCCCGGCCCCACCTCCTTCACCTCCTTTTCTTTGCTTTTCTGGCGACGGTGCGCTTTCTTGTCATGGGGGCCACCCGCACTGGAACTCGACATGCTGAACAGATGCTGAACAAATGCTGAACAGGCCAACAGTCGGGATATGCTAGGAAACAACATCCAGCTGGATTCAGCAAGAAAAGTTCAGCCACACCAGGATGTGGTCAAAGATGGAGAGACACAAATAGACGAAAATGAGCATACGTTGGTTGTTTTCCAACGTTTTCCAGGGTTCATGTGGGTCACAACCGGTCCTTTGATCTGGGAATCCCTGTTAAGAAATGGTTGTTTATTGGCAGATCATGACAAAAAAACAATTTCAAGACCCTGCCAGTAGCCCAGAGGCATCCTGCATTGACTGGAAAACCCAGCATGAATCCACCAAGGAAACAGCTGCGAAACCCAACCTAAAGATTTATGAGCTGACAGTGGCTGGAGGGCCCATCTGATCTGTCTATCGGTATGTTCCCGATATCGAAAGAGGACTGACTGAGCGGACGGAACTGCTCCACCTTGTCTTTCTTTGAAGCGGAGCCGGAGCTGCTCCTGCCAGCCAAATTGGACGCGCAGCAAACCGATGATTCATCGAAAGTTGAATCGAAATAGAAAGCGGTTGTCGGTCTACTCATCAAAGGAAGTTTCGTAGAGAAAACTCCGAGTTACGGACTTTCACATTCTCACTAGCCCAAAGATCATGTGTCCAGTTAGCATGTGCCTTATAAGAGATCATGAAGTCACATTCTCACTAGCACAAAGATCATCGTGTCCAGTTGGCATGTGCCTTATAAGAGATCATGAAGTCACATTCTCACTAGCCCAAAGATCATTGTGTCCAGTTGGCACATGCCTTAAGAGATCATGGAGTCACATTCTCACTAGCCCAAAGGCCATTGTGTCCAGTTGGCATGTGCCTTAAGAGATCATAAAGCCACATTCTCGCTAGCCCAAACATCATTGTGTCCAGTTGGCACCTGCGTGAAGCAGAGAAGAGGTAGAGTAGAGGTAGAGGTAGAGTAGCGTAGAGCGCAGTAGAGGTAGAGTAGAGAAGTGAAGACGCGCCTGCGTGGAGTAGAAAAGAGGTAGAGTAGAGGTAGAGTAGCGTAGGGCCCAGTAGAGGTAGAGTAGAGAAGACGCACCTGCGTGAAGTCGAAAAGAGGAAGAGTAGAGGTAGAGGTAGGGTAGAAGCAAATAAAAGCAAAGTAGGTTAAGAGGCAGAGGCAGAGGTAGAGTAGCAGCAGAGCAGGTGTAGAGGTAGAGCAGAGTAGAGAAGAGTAGAGTAGAGCTGTTGCGATTCTGATTTTGTTTTGCAAGTCCTTCTTGGCAGATCGCATTTGAACTGCTACATCATGGATGCGATTTGGGATGTGCATGAAACACTGTGTTTTTCAGGTAAACGGAGGTTGCATTGCGGAGAAATGTTGCCTCGTGTGCGCGAGTGCGCGAAGGGGTTAGGCGTCGTCGCTTTAGCCTGGGATCAGTCTCGATATGCGAGCGCAGTGTATAACTGAGGGTTCAAGGTGACTTTTTCTCTTCGTTGTTGATGCTGTGCTATTGTGTTTTGCAACTCAGTCTCTGCGGATCGCAGTGGAGTGGCTGCATCAAGGTGTCTCGAAAGGTACTGGTTCTCCAGTGATGTCTTGCGATTGTATTGTGTTTTGCGAGTTACTTTTGGCAGATCGCATTGGAACTGCTACAAGCAGCGATGCGAATGTTAGGGTTTGCACGAAAAAAATGTGTTTTTTTCGGGTATAAACGGAGGTTGCGTTGCGGAGAACAGTTGCTGGAGAAAAGTTGCCTCGCGTGCGCGACGGGGTTAGGCGTCGTCGCTTTAGCGTGGAATCAGTCTCGATCTGCGAGCGCAATGTAACTGAGGTCTCCAGGTGACTTTTGGTCTCTAGTGGTTGACGCTGAGCGTTTGTGTTTTGCAACTCAATCTGTTCAGATCGCAGTGGAATGGCTGCGTCAAGGTTTCTCGCTGCTGCGGCTGCGTGCGGAATACTATTGTCTTTTGCAGCTGAGAGTCGTAAATCGTGTTGCTTTGGCAGAAGATTTTTCTACATTTTGACTCTGATAATGTTTCTTTTAAAGTCCCTCTTAAAAGTGCTTCAAAATCGTCCTTTTTCCGCTTAGGCGTCGAGATCTGGTTTTGGAGCTGCAATTTGTGTAGCCGTTGCGCGTAATTCTATTGTCTTTCGTAACTCAGCCTCTGCAGATCGCAGGGGAATGGCTGCGTCAAGGTTCCTCGCTGCTGCGGCTGCGTGCGGAATACTATTGTCTTTTGCAGGTGGGAGTCGTAAATCGTATTGGACTGGCTGCATGAAGTTTGCGATAGTGATTTGTCAGCAGATTTCTTCGCATTTTGGCGCTTGTGATTTTTCTTTTCAAATTCCTTTAAAAAAGTGATTCAAAGTCGTCGTTTTTCCGCTTGGGCGTCGGGAATTATTTGGTTTTGGAGCTGCCATTTGTGTAGCCGTTGCGCGTAAGTCTATTGTCTTTTGTAACTCAGTCTCTGCAGATCGCAGGGGAATGGCTGCGTCAAGGTTCCTCGCTGCTGCGGCTGCGTGCGTAATACTGTTGTCTTTTGATGTCTTCTGCAGCTGAGAGCCGTAAATCGTATTGTAGTGCTTGCATGACGGTTGCGAATGGTGTTTTGGCAGCAGATGTTTTCTTATTCTGCCGCTATGTGACTATGTGGGTTTAACGTTGCATTGTCTAAAAGCTGGCTTTGTGTAAAAGCTGTCTTTGCGTGAAAGCTTCTCTGTGTAAAACCTTGCTCTGTGTAAAGCTTGCTTTGTGTAACAGTTTCTGTGTGTAAAAGCTTCTCTTAAAAGCTTCTCTTTAGTGTAAATAACTACGGGCTGAGAAAAAATTGGACAAGTGGAACTGAGGTGAGGTGAGTCAACGCGCGTTGAAAGGAGTTGAGAAGAGAAGAGAGAGATGAAAGGAGAGTTGAGGAGAGTCAAGAAGATGTGCACAGAGATGACGGTCGTTGAGAAGAGTTGACAAGAGGTGAGAAAGTCGTTGGAAGAGCTGAGAAGTGGTTGGAAGAGTTGCGACAAGAGGTGAGAAGTCCTGGAAAAAGCATGGAAGTCTGCTGCAGCTCCTACAGGCAAACCTTCTCTTTGGATCCTATAACGTCACAGTCCTTAAAGTTCTTAAACCTGGAAACTTCCGCCACCCGCCTTGCCAATTGGTTGAATCCATTGATGTCAATTGATGTCAATTGGTTTTGGATAAGAAACCACCCGAAACGACCCGAAACAGCACCGTTCCATCGCAGCATTTCACTCCTCCGCCGTCGACGGCTCTTGCCTCAGATTTTTTTCTTATCTGAGGTCATGAGCGATATGCTGGACGGAAAAAACTGCTGGAAATATCTGTATAGATGCATGTGCATATAAATTGTGGACTTGACACAGTTTCACTAGGAAATCGATGCGAGAAAACCAAACACTTTAGGGCTTCGATGACCCCTCACCTTCCAGATGGGCAAGTCTTGCAGGCTAAACGAAGAAATTGCGTTGCAAGTCTAGTTGGATCTAGTTGGTGTTTCTTGTGCATCCCACATTGCTGTGAGAAATCAGATCGTACAGGAGCACTCCTCTGTCTCTGCATCTTTTTGCTGGGCCAAAAAGACTCCACATGTCATGCCACAAAAGGCTATGGCATGCTATGGTCAATTGATATGATTTTTGAATTGAAATGAGCCGAGCACAAATTAAAAGATTATGCTGTGGGAAATCACACCCATTTTTTAAGCCGGCATGGGCTAAGAATGAATGCCATGTCAGCCATACGAAGTGGTTTTGGAATTGTAGATTGCACCAAAAAGCAAAAGAAATGAATAAGATGCATGTGAAACGTGGGGCGACGGGATGTTTTTGTCCAATTATGTCCAACTAAAAACTCAGCGCCGAAGTTTGGAGAAGCAATGAATGCTAGGTCACAGGGTAGCTAGGCCTTCCCTCCGAATGCGACTGTGGGTCAGAACTATGTACTCTGAGCAGGGGATTCTTTTTACTAGTAGTATCTACTCAATTGAGGATGTTGAGGACTCGGATCACCTAGTTTCCTACTTCCTCGTGCCAGATGAACATGTGGTGAGTATCATCCTTTGTGCGGCCCACTAGCAAAATGAAGTGGGTGACATCGAGACGGGGAAAATGTTGTATCGGAATTTCCAAATCTTCTGCAGAGGTTCAAGCAAGACAACACATGACAACCAATGAAGCTGAACAACATTGCATCAAGTGCAACATGAACGGAATAGCATCTATGAAAACACTCACACGCACATTGATATGTATGTGGACACACAGCAGGAAGCATAGTGTCCTAATTAACAAGTGTTGCTACCACTTTGAAGTTCCTAAGAGACCACCCCATCCTTTGCTTCAGCATGTCCAACACAATGTATGCCAGTGGGGCCAAAGGTCGGGAACAGACACAGCAATAGCCAATACCACCCTCCCCGACAGATACCTACAATATCGTACAATATCCTACAAAATACACTATCATACAATATCAATCAATATCAATCAATATAATCAATATCAACCAATATCAACCAATATCAAACAACATCGATCAATATCAATCAATATCAACCAATATCAACCAATATCAAACAATATCAATCAATATCAATCAATATCAACCAATATCAACCACTATCAATCAATATCAATCAATATCAACCAATATCAACCAATACAGTATCAATCAATATCAATCAATATCAATCAATATCATACAAGGAAGGGAGTGAAAACAGGAGTTGCAAAATTCTAAACTTCAAAGTTTATGCTCCACCAGGGCAACCTTCTGGTTTGAGGAGTGAACTCGCGATTTTATCCCAGGCTTTCTTGTAGTGTCTGCAATGGTTATTGCATTGGAACAGCCCCATGGAAGGAGTAAAATCGCGAGTTAATTCTTTTTTGCCCAAATTTACAAAACCTTCCAGCTGCTAGCATCCTCGTGGAAGGACTGAAATCGCAAGTTAATTCTTTCTTGAAGAGAACATGAATGAACCTCACATGTCTGGGTCTCACCATTCCAGACTCCCTGTGATGAGACGTGCATCCATGCTCGGAGATGCAAGGGAGAAAGAGAAGAGAACATGAATGAACGTCACATGTCTGGGTCTCACCATTCCAGACTCCCTGTGATGAGACGTGCATCCATGCTCGAAGATGCAAGGGAGAAAGAGAAGAGAACATGAATGACCATGCAATGGGTGCTGCTGCAACCCATGTCCTCCCATCCTTCTGCACTCAGCTGAGACGTCAAGCCCGCTTCCGACTCAACCAATTGAACCCTGGTTCCAGGAAGTGTACCACGTCGGTACAGCACCACAGCCAAGGCATGGGACACAAGCAGCCACAACACCATGACCAGGGCACGCTTCATTGCGGATGACCAAGTGCGAGCAAACAATTCGTGCTGCAAAGGCTGCCCGGGCCATGTCCACATGAAACTTCACGTTTCAAACCGTCCCGAACGTTCCGTGGTCCAAATGCGACTGCAACCAGAACCATCCCTCGCAAGACCATAGGTCTTGATTTAAATCTTATTGAAAGGACCTTTTCATTTCAACCGTCCCGAACGTTCCGTGGCAACTGCAACCAGTGTCCCGGACCTCCCAGAAATTTCCTGGAAACAACCTTCGAACTTCAAGGAAAACCGTACGGAACCCACCAGAACCTTGCCGAGAACTGCACAGGAACCTTTCCGAAACCTTGCAGAACCTTCCTGGGAACTGCACGGGAACCTGTCCGAAACCTACCGGAACCACCTACTGTGGGAGAATTAACTCTTGATTTTTGTCCTCCTGAAAGGAACTTTTCAAACCGTCCCGAACCACCCTTCGAGCTGCCAGCAAAACCCACCGGAACCTTGCCGGGAACTGCACGGGAACCTGTCTGAAACCTACCGGAACCTTCCTGGGAACTGCACAAGAACCTGCCCGAAACCGAGCGGAACCTTCCTGGGAACTGTACAAGAACCTACTGTGGGAGAATTAACTCTTGATTTAAGTCCTCCTGAAAGGAATTTTTCAAACCGTCCCGAACCACCCTTCGAGCTGCCAGCAAAACCCACCGGAACCTTGCCGGGAACTGCACGGGAACCTGTCTGAAACCTACCGGAACCTTCCTGGGAACTGCACAGGAACCTTTCCAAAACCTAATAAACTATTCCCCACCCAAACTTCCCAGAACCTGCCGCGGACACTATGGGGGAATTAACTCTTGATTTAAGTCTTCCTGACAACCAATCAGTCAGAGCAATGCTACCGGCCAACGTCACTCCAAACATAGGATTTAACTCTTGATTTAAGTCTTCCTAGCAAGTCATCATCCAAAAAAGATTAACTCAAGAGTCCGAATGAATGGGTACCAAGTTTTGAAAGTAACGATCCCAGGAGTAAACTCAGGAGTTAATCTTTTGGAACTCTTCTTTCTACTCCTTTTCATCATACAATCTCTCCATGACCATTTTTGGTTTTGTCCTCATTGCCACCCTCGGCGGATGACTCTGGCGGCCCCAGCTTCTGCGCTTCTTGCTGCGGCTACTTCGGCTATCGCTCGATCTTGCGAGGGTTTTACATTGGTGTGGCAGTGTTCCAATCGATCATCTACCAGGCGTCAGCTTTGTAGACTTTGGCTTTTCCATGTGTTTTTGAGTCCAAAAACCTGATGGATGATATGATCACAATGGGTGACAGGTATGAACTGGACCATTTGGGTACCAAAACTGCAGCTCGGTGGTCTTTCACCGATAACCAAATGATCTTCACGATGTTCTGCACGGATGTCAAAGGAACATACAGCTGTTCAAGTTCACCTAACTCTTAGAAATTATGCGGGTCGATTACTGAGACCCACAGGCATATATGGCCAAGAAGATTCGGGACCCAACTGTCCAAGGGGTATATGGGTATAAGATGGTATAAGATGGTATGGGTCAAGATTTATACTGAGAATGACCTTACAAGCTTAGTGCCCAAGAGCAAGAGGTCTCCAATCTCAACACATGTCCACAATCCCGGTTGAAACGACCCCAAGGACTTCGGGAAATCCTGGAATTTCTTCCTGGGTAAACTTCCCGGATAAAAACCCCAGGAAGTTCCCTGATGCACCAGAAAAGTTCCTCAAACAAACCCTCTTCGGCAAGTTCGAATAGAAAAACCTCCAAATCTGAGATGGGCGATACCCAAAAAGATTCAAAAAGTACACCAAAGAAGCTAGATCTCATGCAACGTCGGCATGTTTTCCTTTGAAAACATGGGACATCATGGGACACAAAATGTTTCCCCACCTCCTGGATCTCCGCGAGAAGTCTAGGACCTGGAACAGGCTTCTCGCTATCCTTTTGCTGGAGATATACCCATGGGATATCTGGGTGTTGAATATGTTCTGCTAGGTTTCCACATATAGAATCATTTAAGACATGTCCATCCAGATCATCCAGTCATGGTAGTTCCACTTCAAATGTGGGGCCACGTGGCTCCTATTTTAGGATGCTTCAATCAGGTTGAATCCAAAAACAAGCTGAAGAGTGCTGAAGCTTTGGGAAACCACCAGGTCCAGGACGGTCCAGGGTTGTTTGCTTCTTTGCTTCCTATGATCTTCCTATGTTTCCCACAGCTTCATCTTTTTGGGCAACTTGCTTCCGGCAGCGAGATACACCACCTGTTCACATTATAACAGCAACTGTCCAACAAAGGTCGCCGTCTTGGTTCCCGGCGACGTTTCCTGCCATTCGTTTCCCAGAAAGACCATCCTGTGGAGAAAGGGATTCATGCGAAGGTTTACGAAACACCGGCCATCTGGTGGTAAATTCTGATATCAACAACTCAACAAACCTGTTGGAGCTGGTAATCGCATGAGCTCAACATAATGTAGCAACGGTGTGACCACCAGGAAGCCAGTGTATAGTCGTGTGAAGCAGATGGGATCGGATCGAATCCTAGTTTTGCAATGAAACAAGTATACACAATCAGTAACAATCATGTAATCACTTTATCTATATATCGGCCTGGTCTGATTGCCCGTTCTGACTTATCTGTCAAGAATGCACGCTTACGAAACAGTTGCAGCTTCGATGGTTTCAATCAGGATCATATACAGTATAACAGTATACTAAGAGTCGGAACAATTGCACGAAGAAGGAATAAAGCAAGGCACTATGCGAAGGAAATGAACATCCAGGTTGAATCACATGGCTACTGGTTAGTGGTTTCAACCCAGTCAGCTAGATTCATCCATCAACAAATCACAAAGATGAAACCACAATATCAACACACATCAATATCGAACGTATCCACAACCATAACTATGGACCATAACCATCATAAACCCAAGTCATCTGTGGAATTTGTGGCACTCCCCTTCGAGTTTATTGAGTCTCTGGCTGCCAAGGCGCCCCTGCCCAGCCTGAGTCACGGTATAGCGTACTCGGTCGCCCTCCTTGATGCTCCCTGAGGTTCGCTACCGGTGGAGCAGCTTGTTTGGATAACCAAGGCTCAAATGGCGGCTTGTCCTCCTGTTTGTCGCTCCTATGGTTTAGGGTATCAAATATCACTGTAAAGGGGTAGACCGGGTAGACAGGGTTCATGGAGATGATGCCAGTCGAGGCCTATCTGCCTGGACACTTCTCCTACTGATCCCCATTGAAACCAGAGTCACTTCCAGATTGCCAGAAATGCCCTGGCATGACTTACAGTAGATGACCTAGTTGCTGCTGGCAGGATGGTACATGGTCATTTTCCTGGGTTGGCCATAGCCTGGCCCCGCCATGGCCACAGGGCGCCTTCTACCTGTCGAAGTTGGCTTACGTGACAAAAGAGGTCACCATCTAAGCTGGGACAGCTGGGACAGCTGGGACAGCTGGGACAGGGATCCCAGGCTTCTGCCGTCGCTCAATCTTTCCAAGGCTGGACAATACGAAAACATGAAACCAGCATCCAAACGATAGCTTTAGAGACTTTGGAACTATCAATTCTAAAGCTTGGTGCAGCTTCAAACCATAATGCCATCTATCAAACTCATCCATTCAAATCATCTACTCATTCCACGGCTTTTGTGTTCGAGTCAACCAGCACGTGGCCATCATTTTTCGGTCTTGAAACGATCGCATGGCTCAATCAGCTGGGAGTTGTGCAATAAATCCACGGATATAGGGAATTCCTTGAAAATGCCATGTCAGACTGGATTCAAGTGAATTGTTCAGAAGAGATTCATCTGTAAATATCTACCACTAGAAATTGTCCAGCTCACCCTCTTGGTTTGCTGGCCTCAGGGCTTCAAAATGTTTCACATTGGTGACTCGCTTCGCACCATTTGGGAGTCAGCAAAGGCAAGACGTCAACGTATGTCAAACATCGGGCGTTTGCATGGGCCGTTGGTGTTTTTCTTGGTTTGGATCCTCACCCAGGCACCTCCAAGACAGAACATGTTTGCTTACGGGAGATGGCGGCCTCCAGAATATTCCAGAGTTCTAACCCCGGAATCCCTCTAACTGTAGGAAGCCAAATCCAGGACCTTGAGAAACAAGTCACTTGAATACAATTGAAGAAAAAGATGGCAACAACTCTAAATTCATGTAGAACAGATGACACTCAAGTTTGTCAGAAACCACTTCCACCATGGTAGGCACCATCCACCTGTTACAATATGTTACAATCATCAAATAACCCCAGCTATCCTCAGCTGATGTGTTTTGGAACCGTTCCAGGGCGTCACCATGGCATAGCGGCATGATTTTTACCTAAGCTGCCGGCTGCCATCCGACGGTTTGATGAAGCCAAAACCGCCTTCCTTGCGCCATCCTTGGAGGACGGTCAGCTCCGAGTCAGCTCCGAGTCACCTGTGTCACCTGTACCATCCGGAAGTGACACCGATGATTTCCTCTACTGAGCCCGGTAAAATGATGTAAAATGTCCTGTAAGGTTTCCTGCCTCATGATGTGGAGCTGCAAAATTAGACCATATCGCAATTGGGCTCCAGGTGAAAACAATATGTAGGACACCTCAAACACCCAAAAAATAATTGCCTGTCCCTCATCAAGCTGGACATTGCCACAAAGATGAAATATGGAAGCCATGTTCCTACCGGGCTGGGTGACAAACGCACTAGAACGCCGCTGCCCATCCAAGCTTCCCGCTTGGCCATCGCCTACACATGAAAACACAGTGCTGGGTCAACCCCTAAGCGATTGACAATTGAAAGTTGCCATGGACAGCGAAATCTATTAGACCTACGTGTCAGTGCAAAAGGTCCACTGGGCGCAAATTGCGCATCTCATCCACAGCCGAACTGACTTCGAGAGACCGGAAGAACCGAGCGGTCAAAAGAAACATCCGGGTAGAAAAGAAGTCAAAAGTCTCAAAGATGGATGAGGCCACAACTTGAACATGCTATTGCCAGTGTGCAATGGCCCAATGCAAAAGGTGCAACATTAAGCAGCACGATGCATCCTATATTCAATGGCCATTTCAGGATCCTAAATTGGAGGTACCTACCATATATAAGGCCTATGTAAGGCCTATGTAAGGGAATATCCCCACAATATAGCCTTATATGGTACAGTACCTCCATTTTAGGATCCTGAAATTCCCATTGATATATCAGGTTCTGGTGCTTTTAAGTACCAGTATGATACAGACTCGGCCTTAACAACTGGTCACAGTAACTGGTCTCTATCCTCGCATTTACCGCCGTTTACTGACTTCAAGAATCATCATGGATTGTCATGGATTGTCCCTGTCTATCGTAGCGTCGATACCTTGTAGATATGTGTATTATATGTTCATCATCAAGAATACATGATGTTATCTATGATGTCCTTTGGGAAAAATTATCCGGCCAGCTTGATATTCCATCATTCTAAGGAGGATGATCCCAACTTCAGTCCGAAATAATATCCAAGCGCAGGGACCTTGGGAGCATCGTCAGGGCCCCCCCGGCTTTCTAGAACCCCAGTGCTCGCGAAGCGGCTCGAACCAAAGCTGGTAGCGGTGAATCTGAAGACAATCATTATTGTCACTTTCACATCAGCACAGGATCATCGGGATAGAATAGTACAATCTTAGTCCGGCATTGGTCAATCCTTGGTTATACCCCCTGGCTCTTCTCTTCTATTTTTCTTTGCATCCCGTTTGAAAGGAAATGACCACAGTTTGTTTGAGGTATCACCCCTCAGTGGCAAGCCTAGATTTCTTTTTAGGAGGTTGACACTTCCCGCTATCGTTCGTCGCTGTCGATACTCCTCTTGCTGATTGGTAAAGCCGACCCACTAAACTTCAAAAGCGCCTGCCAAAAGTGCAACAAACAGCAAGTGTATCCGAATGTGCTTTCTGACACTTGGTGGCCAAAACGTCTGACATGGTGCTTTGTGAGCTTTGTGAAGGGTCACAGACGTGGAGTTGAACATCTAGATACAGCACTAATTGCTTAAATGGCCTGAAACTGAAATTTTGAGGTAGTTGAGCTCCTAACCTTACCAAGCCTTTGCCGGACAGCCCTAGCGCCGCGTATCATTTTTTGGCGGCCATCGCCACCTGCGCCAGTTTTTCTTGCCTCACCGCTGTGCGCCGGAAAACCCCTGGAGATGTTGTTTGAAGATGTTTGAAGGTGAGATAATGCAATTCAATTATATTCAATCACCAATTGGATGGTGATCCAATGATCCAACAACCTCAGCATCTGGGTCAAATGATTTTTGGCTCCCCTGAAAATGGTAGCAAGACTAAATTATCCCGACAAACCCCAAATAGATAAAGGGAATGTTGGATGGCAACCGGCCGCAAGATGCAACTTTGGATGAAGGAATCCTGTGGAATGTGGATCTATCTTTAATCGCGATCCATCTTTTCAAGGAAAATGTGAGGGAAAAAAAACAGCAACAAACACTACATTGACTACATACGTGATCACTTCATCACTGCCTCAGTTATCACCGAACACCACCAGTTAACCACATTTAACCACCACCATCATGACCGCAATCACGCCACCACCCCCATCCTCTTGGAAACAAACAGCACCATAAAAGGCAATCACCCACCACAACCATCGCCACAGCCACATCGCCAGCTCATCACCAGACTTCCCCCACCTTGGCGCCTCAAACCTTGAGAGGGTAGGCCCATGATATCCCATGATCCCCTGTTTTGATCCTTTTACCAAGCGGAGGCCAAGCGTCAGGCGGAATGTTGGCACAATGATCCCATTCTGCATGAGCAATATTATGTCGCAAGACACAACTGCAAACTTTATCAATCAAGTACCACCACTGTCAATACTATGTCGCTCAACGCAACGATCAGCGTACCACCACGCCCCCACCGCCTTCCAGCCGAAGCCATGGCTTCCAGCACGGCTTCACTTTTCCCAAGGTTTTTTGGGCCGTTCCAGTTGAGACTCCTTGGCGGCCACGGGCTCCTCCACCTTGTCCTTAGCTGGGGCACACCACTTTGGCCGGGGAGTTGATCTGGGGAATGGAATGCTTCACATCCTGACCCCAGCACAAACTGCAGCACAAAATAGGAACGAAGACTAGTGTTTAGTCCAGTGCGTGGTCTGCTCGTTTCAAACAAAGCTTTTTTCAACAAAGTTTGTCCAAACATCCTCGCACATCCTCGCTCAAAAGCAGTGACATTGCGATCCGAGATGCGTTCACCTCCAAGATGCCCGGCAGGAAGCGGCCTGTTTAAAACGATATTGTACAAGTACTTGAACATGTAAACATTCACCGGTTGATCTGACTTGAGACAGATGTGAATTCAGATGTAATGGCTACGTGACAGGCACATGAACTCGCCAAGTTGACCTACTGACAAGCCTTCATTTTTTCTATGATCAGGTTTGCATCTTTGCCGGGATGGCCAATCATCGAATCACCCTCCAGACATAGAAATCTGATATGTTGCAACAAACCCACCTCGTGATTCGCTAAAGCCCAAAGCTGACGCTTGTGTTACCTTCATGTTATCTTCTGTGCGTGTGTTTTTGTGTGTGTGTGTCTAATCTCTCAAAAAATTGAGAATGTTCTGTTTATCTTTGAGTGCCACCCTCTTCTTTCTTCATACGGTATATACATTTGCATGTCTAATGGATGTATGTATGTATATATATATACATACACTGTATATGTATGGTATATATCTATATACATATATACACCTTTATATCACTAGGGCACCAGCGCAGGGCATCGCAACTTTGGCCAACGAATCTAATGTTGTCATGGGAAGCGGTTGGAGACGCCCAACTGTGTACCGGGGAGGTAGATGGAGGTGTGTGTGTGTGTGTGTCGCTCCTGCGCCCATTTCAGACGCAGCTGAGGGACACCGACCTTTATGTAGGTATACATATATGTGTATAGTGTATATAACTGCATATATGTACGTATATGTATACATGTGCATGTTTAGCGCTGTTAATTTACACCGTCAATGTCTACTGTGTGCATATTTTTCACCAGTATGAGGTTTGAGGCTTTTCAGTTTTGTTGTTGTTGGTTGTGGTGTTTGGGTCCCGTTGCAACCAAAATATTCCATCTGGGAAACTGCTCCTGTCAAGTAAGTGTGTGTGTGGGTGTGTGTACCAGTACCACCTCAACAGACGTAAAACTTGTACTTCCTGCGGATTTGAGATCTTTGTTCTCTATGTACTCTTCATTGTTTTACTGCTTCCAATTGTTTGGCGACGTGTTGCCGGAAATGAATTAGGGTGTTGTCGACTCCAAATTTCACGAAGTGTAGCAGGGGAACCATCCATGTACTGTTAACGATGGTCCAACGAAGCGGCCACAGTACATGCGGATATCACGGCTGATCACCGTGACGTACCTGCCAATTCATTTCTGTTCCTCGCTAAAGTGGCATGGGGCTAAGCCAAGAACCCCTTCACCGGTATTTTGTACAATCACCGCATGAGTCTTCATGTTTTTCAATGTCGTGCACGGTTGTCGCAATCTGGGTTATTTAATTCATCATATTTGGATGTATTTGGGCTGTATTCTTTGTCGCATTGGTCGGACTATTTCAATGAGGATTTCCATTATATTCTTCGGATGACTACTTAGGCTTGGATGCCATGTTGGGTTTTGCATGATGGGATTCAACTCCCAACTGATCACTTCAGTGATCATGTTCTGTTCTAGTGTGTGCGCGCGCATATTCAGCCTCTCATTTTTGACAGGGGGAAAAGTTGGCTTGATCTACAGCTTGGAAAGTTCTTGGAGTCTGCCGATGTTGGCCGGAAGACGTCCCTGGATATGAAGTCAATGGCAGACTTGACGTCGTTCAGTCCGAGGGGCCCAGATAGTCTTACCATCCAATACTATCGACCATCCAAAGTGGTCCAAATTGACAATGCCATGCAATGAGATAGACATATTTTGGCCATCAAGAGTCAAGATGATGCCGCGGGGAAAAATGGGGAAAAAATCGCAAATGTAAAGAACAACAATTTGGCCATCAAGATCTGTAATTCCTGTAGTTCTGCCCCATGACCAGACCAGCAACAACCACCACATGGTCCGCATGTTCTGGTCCATGCCTTTGGCGACCATCTGCGAGACTTGCTCGAAGCTCATGGTACTGGGGTCCAAGCACAAGTCCTCGGCTCCACTAAGTGGATACTCAGCCTTGGCTCAAAAAGAGGCAGCTGGTTATTCTTATGATCTGCTTGGCAGGCTCGCTCTGCCACTGCTATGCAACAGCCAGAAATATCAGCCCCCGTGAAACAACCGATGGCTCAAAATCAACATCGGGATGTCATTTCGCCTCTATTTCACATGGCATGTTAAGTTTGCACAAGTGTCACAAGAGCTACGAGCGATCAAAAGTGTGGGAAGGAAAAAAAAACATATAAAAACATATTAAAAAAAAAAACTGAAAGAGACTACGTGACTTATGTTACTATGTCGTTCAATCATGTTCAATCAGCATCCCACATCAGATGCGGCAAGGCAACATCCGGGCATAACTTGACCAAGTTACAGCGGCTCTCTGAACCTCATGAAGCACCGCCTGGTCAAGACTTTCCTCTACTGGTGAGGAGCTTCTACAATCCATCTATCCATCACGTTACATATTGACCCAGCTATAGGATGCTATAGTAAAATGAATGACTATAACAATGATTATTGAATGCTATGTTTTTTTTTCAACTTGCCTGCCTTCACCTAACCTGGTGAGAGAGGCGGTCAAGAGATGTCAAAATGGCATCCGGTCGCAGGAGCACCGGCAGCCGTACGGCTCTATACAAAGAAATCACAGCAAAGGCCATCTCAATTACCGCTGAACGGAGTGGTCACTGCGTCTGTGCATCTGTACATTTCGCAGATGAACCATTTCAACGGGGCACTGGTTTTAAGAATGCGGAAAAATCCAAAGAATGAAAGTCGCAAGAGTGGCTGCACATCAGAAAGGTTTCAAGCTGGTCAAAATCACCAGCTCACTTAGGGATGGCACAACCAAGAATCACCACCACTAATTCCAGTTTGTTGCTGAGTAAATCAGCAAACAGGGCTGCGGGTGAGCCAAGGTATTCAATTAGTCAATGCTTCACCTTATGCGACGTCGAGTCCCAGCTGATTCGACACATTCTCCAACACAGCCGCCACAGTTGCACCCAGGCCATAGATAGCGAAGCTGACGATCAGCAACCAAAGGATGCAACTTCGAAAGCCTCCCAAGTCTCCATGCAGCTTCAGCAAGGCCGCGCACGGCAGCACGGCACACATGAAGTTCTGTGGCACGATGCCCACGAGTTCGATCACAAAGGCTGCATCATCGTGGAGGAAGAGGCACAGGCAGGCGGTGACCAGAGAGAAGAGGACCTTCGTCCAGCAGCCCAGGTGCAAGCACTTCTCTAAATGCTCCAGAATGGGAGCTGCCAGCAATGGCACATTTAGCAGCAACTTCAGCGTCACGCTGATCAGGCAGAGGGCACTCATGGCACCGTTGAGTTCTCCCGGTAGCAGCTGCAGGTTCAATGGACTGCGGCCCAAATTCATAGGGAAGGACTGCGCTGTGCCATCGCCGAAGAAACTGTAGCACAGCATTGCAAGAGCCACAAAAAATGCCGCCGCAAGGCCCGTGCTGCACAGTACAGCTTGGCCCCATTGGGAGCGGTCCTCCATCAGCTGATAGACCAAGGCCGCCTCTGAATGCACCATGAAGGTGTAAATGGCCACACCTGCTGCTGGGGCAAGTCCTGCCCAGTTCACCATCACCTGGTCCTCCGCTGCCTCACCAAGGCCCACCAGCTCGCCACCGGTGATCAGGAGGCAAGACACGATGATCAACATGCTACCCAAACCAACGACTGCTAAAGAAGAGAAATGCCTAGCTTGCACGCAGACCAGTATGAGGAGAACTCCAAAGCAGCCAACACTGAGAACTGCAGCTGACAGGGAAGGGAATAGAAATTGCAGTTGATTTGATGCCACGATCACTCCTGACAACAAGCCGCCATAAAGATCCACAAGGGCACAACCAGAGAACAGCAGCTGGCCACACCTTCCGAAAGCCATCTGACCCAACATCCCCCAGTCGCGGCTGACCATTGGCACATTCATCTCGTTGGCTCGAGCGTCGACAAGGCGGAAGAGAATACCCATGAGCCACAGGGTGAAGCTCAACATCATCGTCACCGCGAGGAAGGGAAGCACATAGAGCCAGTCAGCTTGTTTCCAGGCATAGGGAAGCACCAAGATTCCAGATCCCATATAGGCATTCAGCATGGTCACGATCGTTTCCCCCAGGGACGAACCCTTCGCATTGCCGTGTCCCTTCAGCAGCACAGCTCTGTCCGAGGAGTAGCTTTCAAGTTCGGCGGAAAGCCCACCACTCGGCTTGAACTTGACCCCAGAAGGCTCGGTTTTGGCCCGCTCCGCTCTTCGCAGGGATTGGCGGGGAAATGCCAAAGATCCATCTGGAGTGCGGAGGTTGGTGACCACCGAAAAACTGCCGAAGTCTTGACTTGGAAGATTGTATCGTTGGAAGGGATAGGGATGGACTTGGCACGTGTCATAGGTCATCGGTCGGTAGTCTTCCTTGTAAAACATCAGGAAGTAGTTCACACCGCTGGAGACCAGCTGGAAGACTAAGTCTGGATCGACGTAGCTGATGGGTCCGAATAATGAAACTGCCACATCAACATCCTCCAAATCTTCTGCCCGAAAGGCCTTTTTCTTGGTCTCATGCTCCGGAAACTTCTTTTGCAACTCCTCCAACATCTTCTCGGAGGGATCGATGCCGAGGTAATCCTCCGGCTGCAGAGCTAGCAGCTCCAGCAATAGCCCGGTGCCACAGCCCAGGTCTAGGACTTTGCAACCGGGAGCCAGGTACTCTCTCAAGAATCCCGCAATCGCTAGATCCCCCTGTGGACTTTCAGGGTCCTTGTGGAGTGAATCATACTGGGCCGCAATCGCATCATAGTCACAGCCGCCATAGGATGCTGACCCCTCTACGACTTCCATGATTGGATTCCTAGCGGAGGAAGATGTTGCAATGGCAACACAAAATCGGGCGTATTTTAACGGTCTGAAAACTGCAAAACGGCTTGAGCTAAACATCCTATAACATGTCATCAAGCAGGGGTTTGGAGCCCCCCACCCTGCTCCAAAATGATCAGAGGTCGACCACAGTGGGGCTACATGTATTGCTGCTAAATAACAAACACAACCATGTAATACAAACGATCCCAATTGTCAGTAAGGTACCCAGGTACCTCAAGAAGAGATTGGCTGATGGTGCTGAAAGATGCTGAAAGAATCTTGCACAAAATCTACAGATTCTATGTGATTGCTTCACAGTAGCACCTCAAGTGGTGCAAAGTGTCATCAATCGAACTGAACATACCTCGCCTTCAGCCTCTGGGCGCCGTCGGGGCCAACCCATTGCAGCACAGCGCCATTCTCACCCTTTCGCTCCTGGGGTCAATCAGATTTTTTGGAGGAAACTGAGGAAACCATGTTGTTTCATGTGTTTCACAGAAAAGATCAAGGGATGTACTGTAACATACTGCAACTCTTCCCTTCATCCAATTCTGGTGCCACATTCAAGGAGAATGGTCCCGATTCATCTCATCCCAGCCCTTCAGAATCTGGCATGCCCCACATGACGACAGTTGCAAATGTTATCAAATGTTGCTGTAGATTCTTTTGTGGGTTAATCAACTGATCTCACCGTGTACACACAGGGTTTCCGTATTTCCCTGTATAAAGATCACTTGTTTTGGATGGTAAATCGGACAAACATCATTGAAGTATCAAAAGCAATGTTGAAACTCGCCAAATCGAGAAAACAGGGACAACTGACACAAGGCTCCTGAAAGCCAGCCTCCTCAAAAGTGAAGAAAAGTGATTCCCCCACCGTTCTTTCCAGAACCTCTGGCGAAGAGGTTTGGTGGGACTTGATGGTGCGCAGTCGGGCTCCCACAGGTTGCCCATCTTGCCCACTGAATTCATGTTGGACAAGCTGTGGGTTATCTTGCAAGTTGTTGCGTCTCTCACAATTTATGAACCACCATATCTAACACATGGCTCACCGTCCGCTCCACTGTGTCAACTGGTACCTCGCGTCGCATCGCATGCAACTTGACGTTGAAGATGTCCTACCGACTAACAAACAGGGCAACATCTCAGTCTGGTGCCACAGGCAAACTGATCAATGATTCAACGTTGACAGTTGAGTAACACAGCAAATTCATGCATGTAACTCCCAAAACCGGATTTCGACGCTAGAGCGAAAAGAAATAGGTTTTTGAGGCAGTTTTAATAACGGCGTTCAGAAAGAAAAATCCAATGCGGACCAAAACTGTCTTTGAACCACTATCGCAGCGCTTCGTAACCCTGGCTCCCAAAACCATCAGCAGCGCACAACCAACTTGACCCTTGCTGCGCAGGTACATTCCACTGCAATCTGAAACCAAACCATGTACATTACAATAGAACTACGCAGGCATGTGATGTGTGCGTGTATATGATATACGTGATGATAGTACATGTCTGGGTGAGTATGTGATGCATGTAAGATATGTGCATATGTGACTTAAGTGAGATGTATATCATACATATAATATATCATATATATAATTAAATATATATATTATTATCTATATTATATATCTAATATTATATATTTTTGATTATATATTATATACTATATCATATATCATATATCATTTTTTTATATTGTATATTATATATCCTACATCATAAATCAAATATCATATATTATATATATAATATAAAAATATAGATTATAAATTATACATTAAATATTATATATTATATATTATATATTACAGTATATATATACATATGTTTGTATTATATATAATATTTTATATATTATATATTATATATTAAATATAATTTATTATATATTATATTTATATATGTATTAAATAAAATATATTACAAATTATATATTATATATTATATATTACATATTATATACAAATGTGTATTTTAAATGATATATTATGTTTTATATATATATTATATTACTATATTATATTATATATATTATATGATATATATATATATATTATATGATATATTATATTATAAATTATATATACATATTATATATTATATATTGTATATTATACATAAAATATCATATAATAATTTATTCTCTCATGATATATTTTATAATATATACTATACAGTATATATAGTATATATAGTATATATAGTATATATAGTATATATATACTATATATAGTATATATAGTATATATAGTATATATAGTATATATAGTATATATATATGTATAGTATATATAGTATATATAGCATATATAGCATATATAGTATATATATAGTATATATAGTATATATGGTATATATATAGTGTATATAGTGTATATAGTATATATAGTATATATAGTGTATATATAGTATATATAGTATATATAGTATATATAGTATATATAATATATATAGTATATATAGTATATATAGTGTATATAGTGTATATATATATAGTATATATAGTATATATAGTATATATAGTATATATAGTATATATAGTATATATAGTATATATAGTATATATAGTATATATATTATATATAGTATATATAGTATATATAGTATATATAGTATACATATAGTATATAGTATACATATAGTATATATAGTATATATAGTATATATAGTATATATAGGATATATAGGATATATAGGATATATAGTATATATAGTATATATAGTATATATAGTATATATAGTATATATAGTATATATAGTATATATATTATATATAGTATATATAGTATATATAGTATATATAGTATATATAGTATATATAGTATATATAGTATTATATATATAGTATATATAGTATAAATATAGTAAATATATAATAAATATAGTATATTTAAAATATATTTTTGTAATATGTATATATATATACAAATATTATTTATCAAATAGATATGAAAATTTAAAATATCTATTAAAAAATATGTATATTATATATTTAGATATATATATATATTATATCAATATATTATTTCAATATATGTATATTTTTTATTCATTCATTATTTATTTATATTTATATAAAGTTACAAATATTCATATATATATATTAATATTTTTTGTATAGAGAGATATATTTATATATGCTTAGATTTATATATATATATAGATAGATACAGTATATATACATACAAGAGAGATATAATTTAGTCGATGTGTTTTTGTTACATCATCTTTGTAAGCAAGAGGTGCATATAATATCATATAATCATATCATCCCTGCTACTACTACTACTACTACTACTACTACTACTACTACTACTACTACTACTACTACTTCTATTACTACTACTTCTACTACTCCTACTCCTACTACTCTTACTTCTACTCCAACTCTTACTCTTACTCTTTCTACTCCTACTACTCCTACTACTCCTACTGCTTCCTACTACTCCTACTCCTACTCTCACTCGCACTCCTGCTCCTGCTGCTGCTGGTGCTCGGTAACTCATAAGGTTGCTTCCAAACTCCCTTTACATATCTTTAGGTAAAAAACTAGAGCCAATGACATCGCCTCCACTTTCGGGTTCCTGGTTTCTCAGACCTAGCTGTGAACGAGAGTGAAACATATGGGTAAGCTCGTTTTGAGCATTGTATTCATGAGTCAAGCATTCAGATCCACCAATGTATGGGTTCTAAGAGCTGCGATAATCCTGGAGCTTTATTGTTAAACTCACGGTGATCTGACCTTTTGGAATTGTTTTGATAAACCACCCGTTTGACCCATGCGAAACTGTATAATATCAAACAGTTTGTAAAAGAAAGCCTATGATCCAGCCCTCAGGGATTGCTCCATCGCGATTCGAAAGGACTCATGATACCCAGACCAAACTGTGTGCGCAACTCCTCCGACAGTCTCTGAAGGATCTTGGCAGCATTTCCCAGCTCCTGAAAGCAGTCATTCCACCAGGACCAACTGGAGCCTAGAACCAAGAAATCTAGGAATTGATTCCCTGAAAACCGTGTTTTTCCGATCATATTTAGATTCATGTCTTGCAATATTACTATGTTTGGAATCCACTGCTTCACTCAAGACTCCTGGCATCCAAAGTTCCTTGCTCGTTCAAAGTGTCTACCCAAAAAATCTAGGATTGGCCATAGTTGTGACAATAGTGACCCCCAACATCCCCATTTTCGCGCGATCTCGTGAAGTCAGCACTTCCTGCCATCGATTTAAAGTAGATCCTGATTGAACATAAGTAAAGGATACTTAAAAATCCGACGCTGATATGCGCTGGTGATATTCATGCTGAAATATGTTGAAATTCGACATTGCTTTTTCCGAGTGGTAGTGAATAGCCTGCATTACCTGTAGGACCAAGGTCGAAGATGTCAACCTGCCTGGCGAACTGAATCTTTGCCGTGCTCTTCTGTGAAGGCATCCTTGGCGCTCGGCAGTACGAGCCTCCGGAACTTCTATGAAGCCTCAAAAGGTCTTGTTGAGGATCATTGACGGTATCTGGATTTTACCCAGGGTCACAATGGAACTGCTAAAAGGTCTTTTTACAGTAGAATCGGCAGATCCATAGAATATGCATACGTACTATATATATATATATTGTGTTGTGCGCGTACATATGAATGATTTTACCAGATTCCCAAACTGGATGTTTTGATAGCAATTAAATTGCCAATTCTGGTGGTCTGTTGGTGCCCTCCAATTTTTGTCTTTTCTCAATGATTCGCAGCACGCTTTTGGATCTGGGATTGTGCATCCTCAAAATAGGTGCAATCGCATCCCATCCCCAACTTATTGGGCAAGGCATCCAATCTTTTTCTCAACTCCAGATCTTCTGGGACCTGACCAGCCGCCAGCAAGACGTCCGAAGGCAGGATGTCAAGAAAACAAAGCCCAAAAAAAGGGGCCCACCCTGGAGAGAATCCCATCTGCCTGACTCTGATGTCCAACAGTTCCACATGATGATTTTGGTATCAACTTGGAGATAACTCTTCCCGGCCACTGTATGTTGGCCGTTGGTTGGAGGTCGTTGAATGTGCCATACAGGTCAATCCACAAGGGGCAGACTTGCGACATAACTGTACAATTCTTGGGACCTAAAAAAGAATTCATGATGCGGTACCAGGCTATCCACAAAATCCCAGGGTTTGTCATTATCCGCCCCATTAAAAGTGCCATGTTGCCCTATAAATATATATATATCCCGTTTTTGGACTAACCCAAAATTTGTTTTGTTGATTGCATATCCCACAAATACAAATAAAATTACAAACGCATATACATATATACATATACACATTTACACATATACACATATGCACATATACACACAATGACATACAGACATATATACATATATATATATGTACATACATACATACATACATACATACATACATACATACATACATACATACATACATACATACATAACATCACATAACATAACATAAAATACCATACCATAACATAACATAACAAAACATACATAACATAACAAAACAAAACAAAACATAACATTACATTACATTACTTACATACATATATACATCACTCACATACATACATACATACATACAAACATACATACATACATACACCCATACATACATACATACATAAATCCATACATGCATGCATGCATGCATGCATACAAACATGCATACATGCATACATTACATACATGCATACAGCATACATGCATACATGCATACATACATACATACATGCATGCATGCATGGCATACATACATACTTACATTACATCACATCACGTCACATCACATCACATTACATTACATTACATACATTACATACATTACATACATTACATACATTACATACATTACATACATTACATACATTACATACATACAATACATACATGACATACATTACACACATTACACACATTACACACATTACATACATTACATACATTACATACATCACATCACATTACATACATTACATACATTACATTACATTACATTACATTACATTACATTACATTGCATTGCATTACATTACATTACATTACATACATTACATTCATACATACATACATACTTACCTACTTACTTACATTACATTACATCACATCACATCACATTACATTACATACATGCATTACATACATGCATTACATACATACATACATACATACATACATACATACATACATTCATACATACAATACAATACCATACCATACCATACAATACCATACATTACATACATACATACATAACATAACATAAATAAATACATACATACATACTCACATTACATTACATTACATTACATAAATACATACATACATACATTAATAAAACGTACAATACATACATACATACATACATACATACATACATCCATGCATGCATGCATACATACATACTTACATTACATCACATCACGTCACATCACATCACATTACATTACATTACATACATTACATACATTACATACATTACATACATTACATACATTACATACATTACATACATACAATACATACATGACATACATTACACACATTACACACATTACACACATTACATACATTACATACATTACATACATCACATACATACATACATGCATGCATGCATGCATCCATGCATGCATACATACATACATACATAAATACATACATACATACATACATTACATACATACATACATACATGCATGCATGCATGCATGCATGCATACATACATACATACATTACTGGCTTACTTACTTACATTACATTACATCACATCACATTACATTACATACATGACATACATACATACATACATACATACATACATACTTTCATACATACAATACAATACAATACCATACCATACCATACATTACATACATACATACATAAATACATACATACATTCATACATACATACTTTCTCACTTACATGACATTACATTACATTACATTACGTTACGTTACACTACATTACATTACATACATACATACCATACATACATACATAACATCACATAACATAACATAAAATACCATACCATAACATAACATAACAAAACATACATAACATAACAAAACAAAACAAAACATAACATTACATTACATTACTTACATACGTATATACATCACTCACATACATACATACATACATACATTACATACATTACATACATACATACATACGTACATACATACATACATAAATACATACATACATACATACATACATACTTACATTACATCACATCACGTCACATCACATCACATTACATTACATTACATACATTACATACATACACACATACATACATAAATACATACATACATACATTACACACATTACACGCATTACATACATTACATACATTACATACATTAGATACATTACATTACATTACATTACATTACATACATTACATTACATTACATTACATTACAATACAATACAATACAATACAATACAATACATCACACGCATACATTAATTGCATACATCAATTACATATATCGATTACATACATCAATTACATGCATCAATGACATTCATTAATTACATACATTAATTACATACATTAATTACATTCACTAATGACATACATTGGCTACATGTATTGATTACATGCATTGGTTACATAAATTGATTACATACATACATACATACATACATACGTACGTACGTACGTACGTACGTACATACATACATACATATGTACATATATACATGTATACATATATACAGATATATATATATATATCCATATGTATATATTTATATATGTATATATATCCGTAAAAACATATACATATTTAAATATATATACAAGCGGGGCCCATGGCTGGGAAGCTGGACCGCAGCTCCAAAAATGGGCTCATTTTTTGTCCCTGTAAATTCCACAGTGCGTGGCAGCGGCCGCCGGCTCCTGAATTGGAGCAAATCTCATTGGTTTGGACATCCCCGTGCAGGAGCATCACCCATGTTCCAAAAAGTTTTGGTGCCATGAACGCTAAACCTGCCAACCAAGGTGTGTCAATCTTAGCCTCAAATTTTTGGAAGGTGGCAAGCTTTAAAGGCCAATGCAGATGACATGTGAGTGTGTAAAGACACCCACCAATCCCCCACCAACAGAATCACCGTCCAAACAGATTTCTGCTATGCAAACCCACCAAGCAATCAACACATATCACAGTTGTAGCCCAAACATTGTTGGATTGCGATAAGCCACACACCAGACCCTTGCCAATAATGTCTGAATGGGGAAAGGCCCTCTGAAACAGAGTTCCTCACAGCGCGTTTTTCATCCAAGAGCTATTCCCCAGCGTTCATTCCCCGAAGAAGTCTTTGGAAGCTTCCATCATGTCATTGAGCTCTTCCTCGTCAAGCTGAGCAACTGAATCAATGTCTGGAGCCGGAGTAGAAAGCAGCGTTGTGTTGGGCTCTGCAACCTTGCTGTCACCCAAGGCCAAACCCGCTTTGAAACCTGGAGCTGCAACTGTAGCCTGCGCATGCAAGCAGATGGACCACTTTTTCCAGTATGCATATCAATGATGGAGTGGAGTTTGCAGGATAGGATAGGGTACTACGTCCTGAAGATGCGGCTAAAAATCTTGGATCAGGCTATTTGTTCAAGGGAGTTTGAAGCAGAAACCACCTCTAATATGCAACCATTCAGAGCAAAACCACGATTCAAAAACAAAACGTTGGGTAAGTCCATTCAAGGGAGGCACACAACCGTTCCAGGCAAAAAAACAGCACTCAACGACAAAACATCGGGTAAGGCCATCCAAGGGAGACACCCTAAATACTGGATGACTGCACTGGATCGTCGGCCTCCCTAAATACTGGATGACTGCACTGGATCGTTGGCCTCTCGGCCTCCCCTGAATGGGCTTTTGCAACGTTATGTTTTACTCCCTATCACCCGGCACCTGGTGCTTCGTCTCGAAGACTTTGTCAGGGATGTGCAACCAGAGCGTGCGACGATCTAGTGCTTGTTGATGGTTCACATCGAAATACTCTGGAGGCCAAAATTGACCTATGTGATGATTTGTTGTGAATATCCTCGGCACAGCACTGGGAATGTGACCGTCTTGATTCCTAGCTCGAACGTCTCGAGGGTGGGCAATGTCGGTCCAAGCTTTCGCGTCGTCGATGTCAATGTTGCGGAAGGTGCATTCATCAACCAGTAGTCCTTGTCCACCATTGATGGTGATCTTCCTGATTTGGTCCAATTTTGACAGGAAATGTACCCCAGCAGGGCACAAGCTCAAGAGGATGCTGAGGGCCATTTCTGTTTTCCCGGTTCCGGGCGGGCCTTGCAAAATCAAAGCAACTTTGGAGTAACCGGTTTGCATCCACTCTTGCACAGGCGGTGGCAAAACAAATTGGGTCAACGCAAATGTGGGTGTGGACACCAGAGTTGTAGCGCCCAACGTTTCTGGACGGTGCCACGCACCCAAGATCTTCTGCAACTCTGCGTTGGCATCTCGCAAGGACCCCAAATGGTTCCAAATCAATGGATTGCCGGCCTTTTTCTCCTCTTTGGCTTCCTGGCTGCAGGATGGGGTGCCAAAAAATAGAAACTTCGATATTTTGTGAAACTTTGGGCCAGAATGAAACAAGTGTCAGCCGATTACAGCAATGGCAAGGTTAGGCTGCTTTTATTGCAGAAAGTAGTCCTTGCATGATACAGAGAATCCAAAATCCGTGATAAAGACACTTGAGTGCCGCAAATCCAGCCTGCCAAAGTGCGCCCACAGCACGGATACCGCGCTCAACGACAAAGTCCGTCAGCTCACTGAAAGTCATCTGTTTGCGGCGCTTGGGCTCAGGTTCTTTGCGCTGCTGC